GGGATTTGGGGCGCACGATGCTTTCGGTGGCCTCCGAACTCTTCCGGGAGCCTAGAGCGCGGGCCTCAAGAGGCCAGGCGCTTTCCCTTCCCCACGCTTCCCTCCCTGTACAGGTCTGGGCTTAGAAGCATCTTCAGCCTCCACAGCCGGGAGGGCCACGAAGCCCTAACACGCAGCCGCTGGCCAGTGGAGAGCAGGGCCGGGTGTGGACAGGCTGGATGCAGCCAGATCTGGTATAGACAGGCTAGCACACCAGCCCAGCCAAGGGGACCAGGCTTCCTAGACAGGTTTCCTTTGACTCAAAGGTGGTTTCTGGGTCTCTGCACACAGGAAATCAGAGATGGCCATCGGGGCCCTGGACAGGACACCGGGGGCCGTCACTGGGCCCTTGCAGGAAGGAGGCCTCTGTTAAGAGTAGCTGAGTGGCTGTAACCAGGTCGGCTGCCCAGAGCAGCCCTCCGGGGGAGTGTGGGTTGCATGCCAGCCTCCTCATTCATGCCGATGGGGCTGAGAAAGTGGCCATTGATGGAAAGTGGGCCACAGGGAGGCCCACTGTGGGCACCCCTCCCACCCCCGGGGCCCCTGCTCGGACGGACTGCCGGAAGGGTTCCAGTGTCCCATGATGGGTACCTGCTGCCGCCCTTACAGCCTGAGTTTTCTTTATAAAATCTGGCCAAGGCAAAGGCCACAGTGGTGAATTTCTGGGGTGGAAGTGCCTGGCTGACAGGCACCCCAGCTCCGATGGTCTCATCCTAGGCTGTGCGCCATCTGGGGTGTGGCTGGGGGCTGGTCATGGGGATGCAGGAGGGGCCGACTCCCAGACGAGAAGGGGGCCCTTTGTGACCACTGCCCTCCCCCCCACCCAGCCACCCAGGGATGGTGCCTCTGGGACGGTGCCCCAGCCCACTTTCTGTTTGCTCTCTGCACCCTGACATCAGCACACTGTGGATTTTCAGAGCGAGGTGACATGACTGTGTCCTGGAGAAGCCCCCCAGCCTGGCTGAGGGGGGTGGACAGGACTGGCTGCCCGGTCTTCCCCTTACCCCATCTAAGACCGCGTCCTGTGTCCTAGACGCGCCCTACTGTCCCTGGGCGTGATGACCCAGACGTCAAGGGGTCACCCACAAGATTGGGCATCTGGGCTCCTTGGTCGTCAGGGTGGCCGCAGGGCAGGCGTCCCCAAGGTGGCTGTGCCGATGCCTCTGACTTCCTTGCACTCTCTGTCCCCATCGCGATGTGAGGGGCTGCACTGGGTCAGAGGCCAGCGCATGTCTGTTCAGGATAGTGGGCGAGGGTCTCGGAACTTGGTCTGTGCGCCACCTGCTGGGGACCCTCTCTATCCAGCACTCTGTCGTCTTGGGTGCCTTCCCTGGGGTGGCCCCTGCAGACCCTCTCCTGACGTGTGCGCTGCCTTGCCACGGCTGCAGACGGCCTGCGGCTCCATCCTGGGTTCACACCCTCACTCATCCTCAGGGACGCTGCACTTGAATTGAAACGTGAGCACCGCACAGCGGACCAGCCTCAGCTGCATCTCTGCAGCCAGCCGGCCCCTGGACGGGCACCCTGCTGGTCCCTCGCCCGTGCAGCTGGCATCCTTCAGTCAGCACAAGCCTCCAAGTGAGAAGAAACTCCGTTTGCTGTGACATTTGCCTGTTGCTTGCCCCCGGGAGGGAGAAGCAGGTTGTTTCCAGCGGGCATCTTTCCCGAGTCCCTGCGACCGGCCGCCACTAGGCCCCAGCCTCTGTCTCCCCTCCTGCAGCACACGCGAGCTTAGAGGGTCACGGGGCGGGCCTGTGCACCGAGACTGCGTCCTCTCCTGCAGGCGCAGGGCAGGAGGAGCTTACTGCCACGAAGTCACTCTCATGTCACCCCAATTTTACTAAACTTAGCGGGGGGAAAAAAATCCTTCGTCAAGAGTGAAGCTTTACAATGTTTCTCCAGATGTAAATTTTCTGTTGTTAAAAGGAAAAAGCAGTTCTGCTGTCGGCCAGATAACACAGGATTCTCAGTGCAGCGGAATGGTAATCAAATGTCTTCACACCAGTGCTGTCTCAGCCATCCCACTAATGTGTGTTCACACTTGTCACAGTCTAAGGCACGGTTAGACTTATGATCAAGTAAACAGGCATAGTCCTACGCTCTGAAGCCAGCCATGTCCGTATGTGCATTTGCTTCAGACGGGAATCCTGAGTCGTTTCAGAAGTCAGCCCTTTCCTGTCTACTTGGGATGATTTGCTGGTTTGCCAGGTTTTGGTGAATGGGTGAGTTGTACCGTATGGAGAGCGGGGCCAGGTGGAAACAGAAATGCTCAACGGACATCCTCCCTCCCTGTGTCCACTCTCCCTCCTCTGCCTCTGCATCCAGAGGCCTGGGGACTATTTTAAGGATTTGCCCACTTGGCTCCCTACTTACCTAGGTGTACACACACACAGAGACACCCCACAAAGGCACACACATAGACGCCCGCATGCACAGACACACACACAGACACCCCACACTCACACACAGACACACACACACGCACAGCCCAGCGAACATCACGGAAGACGTTGCTAAACAGACAGATGTACCAGATGATGGAACTTCACCCTTTACGATACTGAAACAATGTTCTCTTTTTAAGAATTTCTTATGGAAATCTTTCTGAAACATACTGTATACTTTGCTGTTTTCTTAAGCAGAATTGAATGTATTCAAGGTAATGTGGTTTTGCTATAATGTAATGGTTCCTGCCTCTCTGCTCTCAGGCTCCTGTATGTCTGCTGCCGCCTGCTATAATTTGTGTGCAGGTAGGAACATTTGCCTATACCGAGCACGCCAGCCTGGGGCACCCTTCAGGCTGCAGGGTGGTTCGTGTCTGTTCTGGGCTGCAGGCCCTGGATGTCCACCTCCGGTCAGGTAACCTGGCTGGTGCATCAGAACTCTCTTCCCAAGGACAGGAGTGAGCCCCGTCACCAGGGTGGCAGGGGGCTCCCACGGCAGTTCCCAGAGAGCGGCGACAGTCGGACAGGGCTGCGCAGGCAGCGCCCTCGGGCACGCGAGCGCGGGAGAGTCTGGAGGAGCCGCTCCCTTGGCTTTCCCGAGGCTTCCTCGACTGACCTAACCTGGGAAGTGGCCTCTCGGACGGCAGGCAGCTCCCCTTGGGCAGCTCTTGCCAGGACCAGGCTCCGAGTGGGGGGACCGCACAGGGCATGGGGGCTGGTGGAGGGGTGTCCCCCAGGCTGAGTGCGGGCCCAGACCCCGTCACCACGGGAACCGAAGGGCAGAGAAGCAGCCGGGGAGGCCGTTGCTGCCCCGTGGGTGACCAAGGCTGTGGGATCTCAAGGAGCGTTCCCTTCTCCCCGACACTGGTCAGTTTGCAGAAGGTGAGCTGGTGAGGTGGGGGCCGATATCCTGCTGACCACGGGCGACCGAGGAGTCGGGACCTGCCCCGCAGGTCGGGGGGAGGAATGGGCCTGGGTTTGGGCATCTGAGCAGCGTCTCTCCCGGGGAGGGCCTGAAGTTTGCATTTCAGTTCAAAGTAGGCCCTTAGAAACTGTGCTCCGGGCCGCACCCCACCTCCTTTCAGCCGGTTTGTATCTCTAGTAACTTCCGGGAAGGCTGAGGCCTGCCCCCACTCCAGACCAGCTCCGTTCAGTCCCTGGACTGACGTTTGTCTGTGGCTCAGGTGTGATTTGAGTTCTTGGAAGCCAGAGCACGTGGCACTTTGGGGAAGAATCAGTATTTAGAGAATTCCTACTGACAAGGGAGTGGCCCTGTCTGGCGGGGGGCAGGACGTGGCAGGAAGGCCTGTGCGGGCCTGGGGGCCTCACCAGGCTGACCGGGAGGTGGAGGGCTTCCAGCCTCTGAACCGACCCTGCAGCACACGGCTCCCGCCTCCCGCCTCCCGCCTCCCGCCTCCCGCCTCCCGGCCCTCGGCTCCTGGCTGCCGGCTCCGGGTCCCAGCTCCCGGCTCCCGGCTCCTGGCTCCCGGCTCTCGGCTCTCGGCTCTCGGGCAGCACAGATGGCTTCTCTTCGAGTCCTCATTTACTGCAGACTTAGAGGATGCACTGCTTTATTTTCAGTTTCCTTGGGAAAGTATGATTAGCCATTCAGAGGAGTCTCAGACAGTAATCATTGTTCCTTTAAAAATCAATTATGCAATTTTAACCTCTTTGGCTTTTAACTGTTATTTATGGCCTTGCATTTCTTCTCCAAACAAATAAACCTTATGGCATTCCTCAGGAAACGTTACATCTAAAAATAGAATTAAGTATTTTTTAAACTAAAAGCTCTCTGTCTTTATATAAAAGCATGTTGCACCAAAATTTAAAGGGGAAATCAGATACCAATGATAGCTGTTTTTGGAATGACTGAATGAGCACAATTCTGGGATTATGATGCAGGATGCCCTAATGGTTTCTATTTAAATTTAAAAAAATCATCAGTACAAGTAAAATGTATTTCCTAGGATGAACTTCTTTTCTGAGTATAAAATGGCATATGGACCAGCTCTGTCCTCCCCACAAGGGCCCCCCATTCCCTATGCAGAGCCAGGAGTGCTGGGGAAGGGGGAAGCCCCTGAGAAATTCCCCACGCTCCACGGAAGATCCTAAAAAGCATCATTTAAGGTGCGTGTTTCAGAATTTGATGAGATGGAACTTATGTCAGACCAAACTTGGTGGTGCCTCCCGTGATAACAATGACAGCCGTCACTCACAGGCATTAGATAGGGTTCCCCTCGTGGGCACAGGTGTCAGGTGTACCCGTTACAGACATGGGCACTTCCTCAGATGCTTCTGCTCTGTGACAATGTGAGGACCAACCGATCCTCCCCGACAGGAACTCTTCTCTGTGCTGGGGATTCGCCCATACCTCCTGTGTTTCACAAAGATAACTCACGTCCCCGGACATACAACAGGTGCCTTCACAGTGGACACCTCAGTGCTAGCCTGTGAAGGTGTCCAGTGCACCTGTCTTATTAGATGTATTAAATTTCGCAAACCTCTCTTCCACCTCAGGACCTGGAATCCCTCGACACCTACATACAGAACACACTCTCTGCCCTCTACCCACCTTTCGAGGCCACGGCAGCCACAGTGCTCTGGCAGCTGCTCAGCGTGGCCGAGAAGCTCTACGGTGGGGACGGGCTGCGCTGCCTCCTGGACTTCCTCATCCCAGCCAAGAGGGCCCTGCAGCACCTGCAGCGGGAGGCCCGTGTGAGTACCTCCTCGGGGATGGAGCCCGTGTGAGTACCTCCTCGGGGATGGAGCCCGTGTGAGTACCTCCTCAGGGATGGGGCCCGTGTGAGGCCCGCCCGCTCACTTTTGACTAGGGAGAAGACACAGGCAGGGTTTTAATCTGGTAGCTGGAAAATACCTCATCTGAGCCGTAGGGATTTTAGATCCAGGGGAATACACTGGTGAAAGAAGCAAAGGAGGAGGATATGCTTCTGTGCATTTCAGACTAATCCAGGGGTTAAGCGGACATCCTTCAAGTGAGCATTTGTTGTTTTCTTTCTGAAAGAAAGCAGGGTATTATTAAAAAATAAAAATAAATTGTAGTCTCAGCCATTGTTTTGGTAGCATTTAAACACATGACTGGGGAAACCGTCCCATTTTCCTCTGTTCCATTGGTCCTTTGGGCACTGGCTCCGCTTACTCCCTTTGGCTTCTGGCTCCACCTTTTCCTGGTTCCAAATAATTGGTGAAATAAGGCCTATGTCCCAGAACCAGGGCTTCTCAACCTGCCAGTGAGCATGGACCCCACTGTCCGCAGGCTTCTCTCTGGTGCCCCAGGGGACTCTCGCTGCAGTCTATGTACGAAGGGACTGAGTCCCCCTCCTGAGTAGTCATCTCAGGATGTACGGGAGCAGTTCCAGTAACACAGACAGACCCTGCTGAGTGAATCTCTTATGTGTTTACTTATTTGGAGGATATTTTTATTGTAGGTTGTTTCTGAGGCAGTGTTAAAACTAATGACAGCCACGTTGCAGGTGTGTTGCAGTGAACTGCTGCAGAGATCATGGCGAGATCTTAAAAAGTAAGACCTTTATTAATCAGCACCTTCTACTGCTCCATTCATATTGAATTAGGGCTTTTTGAAAAACTACCACTGGGCCACTTTGATTTCTTAAACTCGTTGAATGCCTTTTAACTGAGTGTGGTAGAGAAATGACCATGGATATCCTCGATTTAATTCTTGGTTCGCAGTAGTCTGCCTAGAGGGTATTTCCTTCATGATTATGTACCTTTTGCACATGTAAAGGGTGTTTATTGATAGGGAAGAAGCAGAGAAATTTGCCTGTCAGGAGATTAAAAGCAGCACACACAACCAAGCTGCATTAAGTTGGATCTGAAAACACTTGCTCCCTTTCAAAGGCGTGTCTTGAAAAGCTTTTCTGAGCTAATGTTTTGTCTTCTTTCTTCTAATATTCTTTTTCCTTCCATTTTAACAAGTCATCACCCTTCCCACTTCCAAACTGCTTATCTTCTGAAAAAGCCATATGAATAATGTTACTCTTTAATATGATGCATATTTATAAGTATTTAAAAAGCATAAAATGAAATTTAGGGACAGCCTTACTATTTTCATCTTTATATTGCTTTTTATTTTTTAATTAAGAAATTAAAATTTGATCATCTGTATGACATCGGAGAAAATGAACTTATCTTGACAACTGTGAATATAAAAATACTTTAGTTAATGTAAATTCAATGCACTTTTTATTCATTTACCAAGTATCATCGAAGCATGTGGCTTGGAGATCATTATTAATCATATTAATTTTAAGATAAGTTTCTATGTTAACCTGAGAGTTCGATGACCACTATTTTCCCATCCCTCTGTAGAAACCAGACAGGCTTAAAATCACTGGCTGACTTATTTGTAACTTTGTTTCATCACGGTTTGTGTCAAAAAAATGCTTGGAGAAGTTTAAAGAAAAGTAATCAGAAGGCTTCCCTGGTGGCGCAGTGGTTGAGAGTCCGCCTGCCGATGCAGGGGACGCAGGTTCGTGCCCTGGTCCGGGAGGATCCCACATGCCGCGGAGCGGCTGGGCCCATGAGCCATGGCCGCTGGGCCTGCGCGTCCGGAGCCTGTGCTCTGCAACGGGAGAGGCCACAGCAGTGAGAGGCCCGCATACCGCAAAAAAAAAAAAAAAAGAAAAAAGAAAAAAAAGAAAAGTAATCAGATATAAAACAGAATGTTTCTGCAAGGGGGGAAAGCAGGGGCAAGGGATTAGAACTTAAAAAATGAAATCAAACGGAAATCAGAAAAGGAGAAGGGAATAAACAAGATAAAAACATGGAAATAAAAGTACAACATATATAATAACAGGTTGAAAATGGTAGGCCAGCAGAATTCTAACCAAGGATAATGGATGTAGCGATGTTCATAACAAACTAAATATAGTAAAAGGCAAATGCATTGATAGGGCTAGAGGACCATTCGATAATAATGCTGCTAACAACCAGGAAGGTGTAACAATCCGTAAACTCCTAACAACACAGCCTGAAAATGCTTGAAGCATAAACTGAGGGAATTACAAGTGGGAGATTTCGCCTCCCTCCAAAGCAAAGAGGAAAAGCAGCCACATATTACTTAAGATAAACATCTGAACACGATATCTCTCTCTGCTAATGAGCATGCGCGGAGTGCTGAGCCCAGCAATTTTAGAATACATATAGTTCCCAAGCACAGATGGAACCTTCTCCAAACTTAACCAAATTTGATAAAATTCTAGCCATGTTTTACCATTAGAAGATATACATTTATCTCAAGAATGTATACAATTAGAGAATATTAAAGAACATACATTCTTAAGCGTTCATATACATTTACCAAATTTGACCAGAATTGACCATTAGCAATAACATGGTAACAAATACCAAAGAATTGATTTCTTAAGACCACAAAGCAATAAAGCTAGAAATCAAGTTTTTAAAAGACACCCTTCTATTTGGAGATTTGTAAAGGTACTCCTAACAGAGAACCACAAAGGAAACTGGCAAAACAGAGCTGATGAACAGGTGAGTCGTATTTCCATCTAGGATGTAGAAGTGTATGAAAGACCTTTACTCTTGCCAAAACAACAAGAAATTCTGATATGAACCAAACAATTACACCTTCCTCTAAAGCCGTCCAAGACCTGTGGATACACAAAGAGCTAAAAGAACTTAACCGTGGAGTGGCAGTGCCTTCCTAAGTGAGCAAAGAGCAGAAGACGCGTTCATCCCTGGGGCGAGTCACTGAGGCTTCAGGGAGGACGGGCGACGAGCTGCCAGAGAAGGACCGTCTCTGCTCAGACCAGGAGGAACCGGGCTTCAGAGACCTCAGGGCTGGAGCACCAGGTTGGAGTCTGGAGGAGCCTCGAATGTAACGATGATCCTCTCTAACCCTAGAAATTCTCTGACAGAATAAGTGGAGACCGAGGGGTGGGACCAGAAAGCAAAATATATCAAAATCTTAAAATCACACAGTTGCAAAGTGTGGTTTCCAACTCTGGTCTCACGGTCTCACGGTCTCACGGTCTCACGGTCTCACGGTCTCACGGTCTCACGGTCTCACGGTCTTAAAATTTTCGTCTCATAGTTTTAACATGTCCCAGTTCAGAAGTCCAGCAGCAGTTGGTACCAGGCCTCCCTGGATGGAGAGTTGTGAACCCAACCCCTGGAGCACTTGAAACAGTTGGTAAACCGAAATTTCTGAAAGTTGAACCAAGCCTCAAGCAATGTAAATTTTATAAGCTATTCTTGGTGGCCAAGAGAGTCGGGGCTGAGCTGAAAAGTGAAGAGATACCTCACTGGACTCCTGGAGAGTTTAAAGCCACAACCCACCCCCAACTTGCTCTGTTTCTAAGTGCTTTAAACTGATAAACCCTTCATCCTAGCTGTCTAACAGAGTAAAGCTTTCCTCTTTCTAAAAACTATCAGCTTTAGGCAAAAGTTCAGGCATAAAATTTAAAAATTACAAAATGTGCAAAGGCACCAGATTATCAACCCATAAAAAGGAGAAAAAATTGTCAATAGAAAGAGACTCACAGACTACCCAGGTTTGGAATTATAAGGCCGACTTTTTAAAAACTATGATAAACATATTAAATAATCTACAAGTAAATATGGATGAAGTGGATGAAGAATTTCAGGAACGATTTGGAAACTGTAAAATGAGGACAAAATGGAAATCTTAGAACTAAAAATACTGTATCTGCAATAAAAAAAAAAAAAACTTACTGGATGGGACTAATGCAGACTGGATGCAGCAAAAGATAGGATACATGATTTGAAGACATGCCTGAAGAAACGAAGCAGATGGAAGCACAGAGAGGAGAGAGAGGAGGGGAAAAGGTGAGCAAGCGTTAGTAACTTACGGGAGTATCAGGTCAGACACATGTGCAAGAGGATTCCCAGAAGGGGAGGAGTGAGAAAATAGGGCCGAAAAAATATTTAAAGAAATATTGTTGGATAATTTAACAATTTGTTAAAAAACACAGATCTAACACATAGATCCAGGAAGCTCATCAGACCCGGAGCAGGATAAATACCAACAGAACAACACTTAGACACATTGTAATTAAATGCTGAAAACCCATCATCAAGGGGAAATCTTAACATACAGGGGCAGCGATAAGAATGATGGTGGCTTTTTATCAGAAGCATTGGACTTCAGAAGACAATGGAAAAATATCTTTAAAAAGTTAAAGGAAGAAAAGTCAACTTAAAATTCTATATACAGCAAAAAATATCTTTCAACAGGAAGATAAAGTAATGACATTTCCAGATAAATAAAAGAGTAGACTAGCACAGATGCTATGCAAGAAATGCTGAAGGGAGGTCTAGAGTCTGAAGGGATATGGTATCAGGCAGAAGCTCAGATCTACAGAAAAATGAGCACAAAGAAAGGTTAAATTTGTAAGTGTGAATTTCTTTTAAAAATTAGCGACCACACACACACACAAAAAATTACTGACCACTTAAAGCAATATATTGTGGGATTTATAACAAATGTAGCAATAAGACATATGACAGCAAAAGCACAAACTGCAGAAGGGAGTAAATCGAATTATAGCATTATAGCTTTATAATGCTAAAGTTATAAATTTGAAATTATAGCTTCAGCATTTCTTGCATAGCATCTGTGCTAGTCTACTCTTTTATTTATCTGGAAACGTCATTATTTTACCTTACTGCTGTAAGGTTCTTACATTGTTTTAAAATAATAAACTATTGCTTTAAGATAGACTGTGATAAGTTAAAGATGCATATCGTAATATTGAGAACAACCACTAAAAATAACACAGATAGGTATAACTCAAAGTTCAATAGAGGAAATAAATGGAATCTAAAAAATAGAAGAGGAGATAAAAGGAAGAACAAAGGTACAAAGGTAGGGCAAATAGAAATTTTATGCCAAGATGATAGATTTAATCCAGCCATGTCAATAATTATATTAAATGTCATTAAGTGAATTTAACATTCCAACTAAAATACAGAGATTGTCAGACTGGAAAAAAGGCAAGACCAACTAAATGCTAGTTATAAGAATTGCCCTTTAAATGCAAAGACAATCCAAAGACTGAAAGTAAAAGAATCAAAACAGACATACCATGTGGTCTGAGAAATGCAAAGCAAATGACAAGACACAAATTTTTGCTTACTAATGAGCAGAAAAATAGACAGGTTAGTATTCAGAGCAGAGAGAGTTCAGTACGATAGACAAGGTGACGCTCTTCTCATCGTGGTGAAAATTGAGATGACCTCTCTGGAAAGCAGTTGTTTTAATGAATGCAGAATCTTTAAATTGTCATGCACAATTTGACTCAGAAAGTTTAGCCACAGCAAGTGATCTAAAATGCAGGTCCAGGGCTTCCCTGGTGGCGCAGTGGTTGAGAGTCCGCCTGCCGATGCAGGGGACGTGGGTTCGTGCCCCGGTCCGGGAAGATCCCACATGCCGCGGAGCGGCTGGGCCCGTGAGCCATGGCCGCTGGGCCTGCGCGTCCGGAGCCTGTGCTCCGCAATGGGAGAGGCCACAGCAGTGAGAGGCCCGTGTACTCCAAAAACAAACAAACAAACAAACAAACAAAAATAAAATGCAGGTCCAGATTCATTCCCAATAATATGTGTTGCAATGTTACTTATAATAGTAAAAAACAGGTATACATTTTAGGAGAAAGGTTAAATCAATAATGTATAAATATGATGGATTAGTATACACAGATTGTGATATAATATTAAGCCAAAAAAAGGTTGTAAGTTTCTTTTATACCTGTCTTTTTTAACATACATTTTAAAAACAAGCACAAGGGACTTCCCTGGTGGCGCAGTGGTTAAGAATCCAACTGCCAATGCAGGGGACACGGGTTCAAGCCCTGGTCTGGGAATATCCCACATGCCGCGGAGCGGCTAAGCCTGTGCGCCGCAACTTCTGAGCCTGCGCTCTAGAGCCTGCGAGCCACAACTACTGAGCCCACGTGCCACAACTACTGAAGCTCATGTGCCTAGAGCCCGTGCTCCGCAACAAGAGAAGCCACCGCAACAAGGAGGCTGCTCGCCGCAACTAGAGAAAGCCCACACGCAGCAAGGAAGACCCAATGCAGCCACAAATAAATAAATAAAAAAAACAAGCACAAGAGGACATGCAGTGACCTCAGCGTGTTGTGCTGTTGAAGGCCCGTGAGTGTGGATACAGGGCAGTTCTGCTTGTTCTACTTTCTTCACTTTGGAAACACCCCCAATTAGCAAGATAGAAAGGAAACCTTAAAAAGTTGGAGATAAAAGGTGATGTTGTAGCCTATGGCAGCCTTAACTGACTGCTCCGGACCTGGGTGTGTAATTCTCAGCCCTGGCTGAAACATACAGACACTGAGGAGGCAGCAAGTTGCGTGTGGCAGCCAGACCCCATGCACAGAGCTCAGGCCAAGGGCACGTTGAAGAACACCTAGTCATCATCTGGGAGGCTGGTCAGTCTTCCTGAAATATGAACAAATATGTTCAGGTGCTTCTGGAGCCTGGTAATACGTTGTTGAGCGGACCACCTGGGCACCATCCTCTGCCACAGGGTCAGGGAGACAGGACCCCAACAGGCAGATAGTTGGGACAGTGTTCCACGGACACACGCAGAGGGAAGCTCGTCCCGCTGTGCCCAGTCAGGCCCAGGAAGGTCGCCTGCCCCCTTGCCCAGGACAGCCTGGACAGTGGATGGTCTGCACGGAGCAGCAGTATGTGAAGTTGTCGAGGGCCCAGGGAAGCTCAGCAGTAGTTTTCACATTTAATCCACAGCCAAGCCCCTGTTCTGGCTTTTCCAAGGGACCAGAAAAGTTGTGTTTTGTTTTGTTTTTAGTCACCCAAGCGGGAAAGGAATGCTGAGATTTTTGGAATATTGTAATAACTGATGTGATGCGTCTATGATGATTGAAAACCTGCTGTGATCTTGTGACATGCAGGTTCCTGAACCGCTTTGTGAAAGCTCCTTATAAAGAAAGACTCTGCACTTGTTTTTAGCAGCTGAACTGTAGCTCTTAAACAGTGAAGCCCACCCACCTCCTTTTGAATAAAAAAGCTTTGGTTCTAACACCTCTTCCTTGAAACACCTCAAACAACCTTTTTTTGATTTGTTTTGGGTTCTTTTTGGGTTTTTTTTTTTTTGGCTGCACCGCCCGGCTTGTAGGATCTTAGTTCCCTGATCAGGGACTGAACCCGGGCCCTCAGCAGTGAGAGCATGGAGCCCTAACCACTGGACCGCCAGGGAAGTCTCAAACAACCATTTAGAGAAGGCGTTGAAATGGGAGAAAGAAAGCTCCTTTTCAACCTGGAGTTTTCTCAGAACTGGAACTATTCAGAACATGACTATATTTATAGCATCTGTTGAATTTGGATTCCAGAGGAGTAGAAAGATTTACAATCAAAACTGTAGAGAGTTTGCCTTTCAGAACTGTGGTGGATACGTGTCCGCTAACGATGAGGGCAAAAAAATTACTGTCTGTTAAATGTTTTTTTAAAATCTCGCAGTAACTAAGGCAAAAATAGGACCACAATTCATAGAAAGAGCAAAAGTACATGAGAATTCACAGAAAACAAGCATCAGGAAACCGTTGGCTTCACAGTCACGTGATGTGAATTAAAACAACAATATTCCACAGCATACGTGTTAATTCAGGAAACAGTTTCTTGCTGTAAAGCCTTACGCTGCTAATCAGTGGGCACGGTGATACCTTACTGTGATACCCCACTGCTGACAGTATGTCTCTTGATGACAAATTGGTCATACTGTCAAGAATCATAAAAGACATTCATAGCCTTTGATCCTGTAATCCTAATCCCAGAAAATGATAATTTAAAAGAATATCATGAAAATGATATGAACATGTTCCTTGCATTTTTAATTTACAATAGAAATCCACAGAAGCACTGTTGGTTCTGACAATAGAGGATCGTTAAGTAGCCATCAGGATGGTAACTGAGTAACAGAAGTGCTCGCTTAGGGTGACTGCTGACAAGAATACCAAATTCTGTCTACATTACTATTGCAGTTTAAATAACTAATAATAATAAACAGTGGATAAGGGCACAGAAAAGTTAAAAGTCTCTAGAGGTATATTAGGATGAGTTTTTTTTTTTTTTTTTTTGGCGGTACGCGGGCCTCTCACTGTCTGTTGTGGCCTCTCCCGTTGCGGAGCACAGGCTCCGGACATGCAGGCCCAGCGGACATGGCTCACGGGCGCAGCCGCTCCGCGGCATGTGGGGTCTTCCCGGACCGGGGCACGAACCCGCGTCCCCTGCATCGGCAGGCGGACTCTCAACCACTGTGCCACCAGGGAAGCCCTCTCTTCTTTTTCATTTTCTGTATTATTTAATTAGGGTTTGTGCAGTAAGTCAGCGCTGGAGTAGGGAAAGCTGCAAAAAAAAAATGCTGGAACTAAACCCAAACAGGAGAATGTGATCCCGTTTCAGAACCTGTGTCTGCAGCTCTGGCAGGTGGGCGTCCCACCGCTGTTCCCTAACAGCCTGACACCCTCCTGCCCCACGGAGACACTGGCTCATCCATCCTGAAGTCGAAACCTTTTTTCTAGAGCAAGTTCTTCTCAAAGAGGTGGTTAAGGACTCACCCCATCATCGACAGCTTGGTTGCAAACTCCAGTGACCCCTTCAAATAAGCAGAAAGGACGGCTGCTGTGGGTGGGAGCTGGCGTGATGTGGGGGCCCTAGATCGGGGCCCTAGATCCGTGCCCTCTCACCATGGTCCCCACCCTGCAGTTCCAGAGGCTGGGGGCTGCCCGTGGGTGCCGCGAGCTTAGACCAAGGGCTGCAGGGGCGAGAGGGTGAAAGCCCAGCCCTGCCCAGGTGGGGCCGGCCCTGGGAGCGGCTCGCCCCACAGCCCCTGGGGTTGGGACTGTGCCTGCGGTGTCTCCCCATCCCCAGCTGCCCGCCTCCCCCAGCCACCCAGGAAGAGCGGTACAAATGCGTTTCTAACGCCCTGTCTTCAGTCCTGATCCCTTTGTTGTTCTGGGGTGCTGGGGGGCCCAGTCGCCCACCCTCCTGCTGGACAGAGGCCAGGGGCTCTGACAGGTTCCACGTCAGCCGCTAATCTCCCTGCATCCCTCTCTTGTCCCAGGCCAGGTATGCAGGCCTCCTCTTCCTGCACGAAGGGTGGCCGCTGTGCATCCACGAGAAGGTGGTGGTGCAGCTGGCGCCCCTGCACGGAGTCAGGCTCAGGCCTGGGGACTTCTACCTGCAGATCACTGTGGCGGCGGGGAGGCAGCCCGCCAGACTGGTCTTGAAACGCCTTTCCCGGCTTGGACAAGGCTCAGAGGAAGTCATTGTCCCTGAGACCATGTACGGCTGTGTCTTCACGGGAGAGTTCCTGGAACTGGTGAACGGGGAGCAGAACGGTGTCCCCTTGCAAAACTGCTTGCTGACCTTGGGCTCGGTGGTCTACCGCACCCCCTGGAACAACGTCACAGACCCTGTCTTTGTCCCCACCACCGGAACCAACCTGCCCAGCTGCCCCAGCGGTCCTGGGCCTCAGCAGCCACCACCCGACAGCGCCTCGGAGGCTCCAGCCCCGGCGCCAACCGTGGCCAGCCCCGCTCCCCAGGGCGGCACACCTTCCAAGCACACCCCAACCCTGCCCCACTGCAGTGGGCATCCCAGCAGTAACCAGCCCCGCCGTCTTCCTTCCCCAAGAAGGGCTGAGTGCGAAAGCCCTGGGACCCTGTCCGGGAGTCCCAGTGGAGGCCTCAGGGGGGTTGGCCCCTCAGAGCAGGACCCCTGGGAGTGTCCTGAGAGCCCTGAAGGACCAGGAGGGAGGCTGGACCCCATGGACAAGAAGGACGGCTCCAAGGCCCTCGCCTTCCACGCAGAGGGGGGCAGCCCGAGCTCTAGGAGGCGGCCGCCCAGAACCCCAGCCAGTGTGGAGGCCAGACGCTGGTTCAGGAAGTCCTACATGGAGGCCCTGCAGAACCCTATGCCCCTGGGCTCCAGCTCTGAGGAATCCATCGGGGATGAGGCCTGTGGCTCCCAGACCCACGGCCGCAGGGCCAGGGGGGCCAGGGCAGCGGCCAGTCTTACCCAGAAAGAGATCCCTGGCCCTGCGGGAGACCCCCAGGAGATCCCGAGACAAGAGAATGGTCCAGGAGCTGCAGGGAGGACCCTTCCCAGGAGGTCTCGATCCTGGGATAGGTCCCTCAGAAGCTCCCGAGGTGACACCTGGCGGGCCTCCCAGCACTTAGCCAGCACCAGGCCTGGGGGTCTCCTGGGAGGACAAGCTGTGGGGACCAGAACCACAGGCTCCAGCTGTCCAGGCACAGTGGAGAGTCCCAGCTGCACAGGAGAGGAAGGTAAATGTCCACCCCCGCTCCCCTCCCCCTCCCCTCCCCCCCACACTCCCCTCCCCCCACACTCCCCCCCCCCACTCTCCTCCCCCCCACCCTCCTCCCCCCCACACTCCCCTCCTCCTCCTCCCCTCTCCCACCTGTGACAATTGGTCTGGTCACTTGATTCAGTAGAAGCCTGTCTCCATGTCCGTATCAACTGTTGAAAATGTTTACATGTATTCATTTCCGGGGCTGCCACAGCAAGGTACCACAGACTTCGTGGCTCTGAACAACAGAAAATTATCCTCACGGTTCTGGTCCTAAAGTCCAAGATCAAGGTGTCCCAGGGTCCCACTCCCTCCAGAGGCTCCAGGGGAGGGTCCTTCCTGCCTCTTCTGGCTACTGGAGCCCCAGGCATCCCTTGGCCAAATTCATTGCCCTTCACCCTGTGTCTCACTGTGCCTCCAAGCTCCCTCTCCTTTCTCTTGTAAAGACACCTATCATTCAATTTAGGGCCCACCCTAAACTTCACTAGTTCACTTCTGCAAAGAGCCTTTTCCAAATAAGTTCGCATTTGTGTGAGAGTGAAGCCCCCCTCTCTGAGGAGATGCACGAGAGCCAGGACCCATCTCTGAGGAGATGTGTGAGGCTGAGGCCCCACTTTCTCTGAGGTGGTGCTCAAAAAGGAGGCCCCCCTCTCTGAGGTGACGTGTGAGGGTGAAGCCCCCCTCTCCGAGGTGACGTGTGAGGGTGAAGCCCCCCTCTCTGAGGTGATTCTCAAGGAGGGGGCCCCCCTCTCTGAGGTGACATGTGAGGGTGAGGCCCCCCTCTCTGAGGTGATGTGTGAGGGCCAGGAACCCACTCTCTGAGTGATGCTGGTGGACGTGGCCCCTTCTCCCTGAGGTGATGCTCAAAAAGGAGTCGCGATGATGCATGAGGACAAGGCCCCCCTCTCTGAGGTGACGTGTGACAGCGAGGACCCTGTGTCTTAGCAGATGTGTGAGGTGAGAACTTGTCTGAGGAGATTTGTGAGAGTGAAACACCCTCTCTGAGATCATTCTTAAGGATGAGGAACCCCTCTCTGACGTGTTGTGTGAGGGTGCAACCCCCCCTCTCTGAGGTGATTCTTGAGGTCCAGGCACCCCTCTATGAGGTGACACTGGAGGGCAAGGCCCCATTCTCTTTTGTGACAAGTGACTCGAGGACCCACTCTCTGAGGAGATGTGTGAGGGCGAAAAGAAACCTTTCTCATTGAAGTGGTGTGTTTGGAGGATGAGGCCCCCATCTCAGAGGTGATACGTGCGTGAAGATCCCGTTTCTCAAGAGGTGTGTGAGGCGAGGAAGCTCTCTCTGAGGCATGTATATGGCCAGACCCCCACACTGAGGAGATGCATGAGGATGGTGCCTCCCTCTGTGGAGAGGCGTGTGAGGCAGCGACCACCTGTCTGAGGTGATTCCTGAGGTCGAGGCTCCTCTCACTGAGCGGATGTGTGAGGGTGAAGCCTCCTCTCTGAGTTGATGTATGAAGCAAGGACCCTTTCTCTGAGGGGACGAGTGAAAGCGAGGCCCCCTTCTGACATGATGGCCGAGGGAGAATCCCTTCTTTTACACAGCGTGGAGGGTGAGGACGCCCCCTCTGAGGTTATGTGTGAGCTCGAGGCCTCAACCTCTGGGGTGATGCAGGAGGTTGCGGTCACGATCCGTGACATCATTCGGTATAAAATGTTTCTCCCTTGGGTGTTTTCTGGTTGTCAGGATCTGAGAACCCGTTTATTTATGTGATTTATTCATTACTCCTCAGGAAAAGCCTGACCTGCAGATGTGCTCACTGACCTTTCCCACCAGAAATGGGACAAGTTCACAGGTCTCCTGTTTTCTCCTTGCATTTGTAGCTGCCTTCAGGCCAGAGAAGCACGTTATCGTTGACCAGGTCTCTTTGCTTTGTGCAGCTGATGTCTCTGCAGAGGGCAGCAGCTTCCGAGGAAGCAGCCCCAGCCGGTGTTCGGACCTGCTTGCTGAGCCGCTGTGCCCCGAGGGTGAAGCGTGGGCACCTGGCACAGGAGACCTGCCCAGCCGGGCGCCCAGGCAGGAGCTGGAACTCAACCAGGAGCTACTGCAGTCCGGGGCGGTCACCCTCCCAGGTGAGCATGGCTGTCTTGCTAACAACACACCACAGGCCAGCGGCTTCTTAACAACACAACTTCACTTACCACGGCCCTAGAGGCTGGATGTCCACGGTCAAGGCGCAGCGTGGTGGGTGCCGGTGAGGGCCCCTTCCTGGTTCACAGTCAGCACCTTTTCACCGTGTCCTCACATGGCAGGTGGGCAAGGGGTCTCTTTTATAAGGGCATTAATCCCATTCATGTGGGCTCCACCCTCAGGACCAAAGCCCCTCCCACAGGCCTCACTTCCAAATTCCATCAAATCAGGTATTAAGATTTCAGCATATGAATTTGGGGGGTTACAAACAGTCAGAGCATGGCAGTGGGCCTCACCCTCCCAGGTGAGCTTGGCTGTCATCTGCCCAGGTGAATGCCGGGCTCTACCCTCCCAGCAGATCTCACATCTAAGCCGGTAACTCAAATAGTGTTTGCAGATCCTGGCTCCATCTCCTCGAGCTTGAAGCCGCGGGTGTCCCTGTGGGGGCTGCCCCCTTTCACGATGGCCCCTTGTTAGTTCACAGCCTCTGGGACCTTCCCGGGTGGAATCTGGAATTGCCCACAGAGGGCAGAGAGAGACCGAAGAAAGAGGCCACGCCCCACATTGGCAGGTGGCAGGTAACTTATATACTAGGCTTGTATTGGGCGGCCTCAAGATCTCCGCCCCGCCCGCCAGAGTCTTAATGTTCACCTGGAGGGAGGCCTTAACTGGGCTCAGTCATGTTACTCTCCAGTCGGTCTCGATGCCACACCGTTATCTCCAAGGTGCGTCTTGAGGCAGGTTCCGGGAACGAGGAGGGCGGAGGAGCACAGGGGCCTGGGTCCAGCTCGGGGGTCGGCTAGCGGTCGCATCCTCTCAGTGACCTCCTCCAGCACCTCTGTTTCTGCAGGAACCCGAGACCGTCAGGGAAGAGCGGTGGTGCAGGTCTGTACAAGGGGCCCACTCTGGTCCAGCGAACACATGTCCAGTGCCGAGCTAACCCGTCTGCTGAAGTACCTCCACACCATCCCCAGGTGGGACTGAGCCAGCCTCCAGTTTTCAGACCCTTTGAGGATAAACCCAGCTGAGGTGTAATCTCGGGTGGCTCCCGGGCTCTGCCGTCTGGCGCGTCACTGCGGCAGGTCCCGTCTCCCACCTCCCCCTCCTTCCGGGCCCTCGTGCCAGGCTCTCACGTGCCGCCCCCCACGCACCCCGTCCCTCCCGTGCACCTGGACCCCTGTCCTCCGAATGCAGGCCTGAGTTCTGCGTTGCTCTTCCTTGTGCAGTACTGGCTTTAAGCATCATTTGTCTACATGTTTTATGCTCCACGTCTTTCTAAAAAAGATTTGAAGTGACCTTGATTAAAGACACGAGCTGATAGAAACAGAATATTTAGTATAACTGGGTGAAGAAATTGTACAAATAGGAGGTACCTGGTGCCAGAAAGCAGGAAAGACTGACCACGAACTAGGCCTTGTGGCATCGCTGGGCCTCCGGGCAGCCAGCAGCACACGCGCCAGGAAGAAAGTGCACCAGCCCCTCCAGAGCTGCACATTCCTGGTGTGGAATTCCAGGGGACCTTGCCTCCTGCGCCCTACACAAGGAAGCAGACACGCTTGGGTGACCCTCCCCAGGGCTCTCCACGGACCAAGGACAGAGATGGGGGCGGATGGAGAACCGGAGTCACGCGCATTGCTTGGGGCCCCTAACCCCCAACAGGTGCAGACGGGCTTCGGGCTCCCTCACGGCCATCAGACCAAGAGCCTCCACGGTGCTGGGTGGACGTAGCCCCAGGGCTCAGTCCTAAGGTCAACGGCCCAGGTTTGAATCCCGGCCCCGAGTCCCAGCCCTGCCCTTGGCTGGAGTCGGTAGTGTGCCGTGATGGAGGGATGTCTCATGGGTGTGCTAGAGGGGCTAGAAATAATCTCTCTGCAGTCCCTAGAGTGAAGTCACATGACCTCACGTGAGAGCGTGCTGGGTGACTCATGGCCACGTGTGCGCACGTGTGGGAACATGCTACCTGGTGTGCCCTCGCGTGACGTGGGAGCGTTCCTGGTACAGGACCACCCGTGACCTCATGCTTGTTTGTGGAGTATTGACTTTCTGTTGAAATTTTTTCTGAAGTAGCACGGGTACAGTCAGTGTGGGACACACAGGCAGGAAAGGACTTAAAATGCTCCATCCCCCCAGGCTCCTTCGCAGAGCGAGGCTCGCAGTTATTTGCAGGGCCTACTTTCACTGCCCTGAGCCTAGGATTTCAAACTTATCTTTCAGCAGAGATTTCAAAATATAAGGAAACGACTCTGAAAAAAATTAGTTTCATCCTTGCACTAGTTCATACTCTATAAGCCTCAGGTAAACACCTTCAAAGCCCTAGAATAATGACATTTTCTATTTACCAGAAGCTTTCCTTTGACCACTGCAGGGAGGTCCTGGTTGACCAGGGCCCCCCGAGAGAAAGGAAAGAGACTGCTGTGGAGTCTGTGGGACCGGGGCTGAGCTGGACGTCCAGACCCCTGCTTTTTCCACTTTGCCACAGACGGTGCAGACAGTGCGCCGCTGCTCACCTGCACATGAAGATCTGGGAGAAGAATGTTTCTGAAGACTTACGGGAGCTTGTTCTGGAGCCCGAAGGTTTGTCTGGTTATTCCCCAACAAGGGCTATAACCGTGAACGTCCTGATAGAGAGCGGCACCGGGAGAAGCCACTGCCCTCAGCTCTTGGGAAGAGGCACCTGAGATGCCGCACCTTTGGGAGGAGCGCCCGGGAGAGTCTCATCGTCGGTTCCTGCAGGTGTGTTACAAGGAGCCCCGCATTCCTATGAGTTGGCCTCGTGAAAGGACTACCATCAAACTCTTAGATACACAGAACCTTAAACTCGGAAAGGATCTTGGCTGTTATCCATGCACCCTCCTGCGCCATGCAGGAATCCACCCATCCATCCTGCCATCCGCACTTACCTGGGAATACAAAAGGGAACAGCAGAAGTTCCTGCCCTGCTGGAGACACACAGGTGAACCCGAATTGTCGCAGCTCCCATGGTGAGACAAGCCCACAGTGCCGAGAGGGACTTCCCAGACATACTGTGTCCTGGAGGAGGGAGAGGGTTTGCAGACAAGAGGGGAAGCAAGAGCACACACAAGGCCTGGAGCAGTCGGGCACTTTGTGAGGACGGAAGACGCTGTGAAGACAGCAGGCCCCCCTGGGCCGAAGACCATGGCGTGTGGCAGGCCGAGCGGCCTGCAGCTTCAGGAAGACAGTTCGGAGGCTTCCGCAGAAATGCAGACCGAGACATCCAGGCAGGTCTGCACAGCGGCCTGGGGTGGATCAGGGACCCCAAGGGGCCAGACTGGGGGGCCTGGAGGCTGCCTGCCGCTGGGAGTGAGGGCGAAGCAGAGGCGTCAGGGGATCCAGAGCAGGGGCAGGCAGAAGGGGAGGGGATCTGCTCTGGGGTTCCAGTTGGTACCAATGTGGATGCAGGAATGAGCAAAGGGGTCCGTCTCAGCCACTCAGGACCAGGGTCCAGCGGCCGTCTGACCCCGGGAACAGCCCCCAGGAAGGGCAGGGCTGTCCTGCCAGCCGCCAAGTGGGTGACGTCGTAGAGGAGAGCCTGTGAGTCACTGAGCACGACTGCCCCTGTGGTCCTGGTGAGGCCACTTGCCGGGCTCTGGGGCCACGACTGACTTGGCAGATGAAGGGAAACCCCAGGGCCGGGGGCGCCAGAGAAGGGAGGCCCACGACGACAGAGCGAGATCCAGCCGTCCCTGCTGGAGGCCTCCGGTCTGACCGGCAGGGTGGACACGAGACCCTCCGACGAAATGCAGCATCTCGCCCAGCTCCTGACAGCACTGACCAGGACCCGTGTGGCCAAGCAGGTGGGCACCGAGAAGTCCCTGGGCAGAGACATAGCGTCCACCTGCCTGCTCCCACCTGGGCCTCGAGGAGCCGCCAGCACCAGACGCGTCAGCTTGGGCTCCGCAGCCCCACTTCTGTCCTCGTACCTGGCCTCCCCAAGAAACACCCTTCAAATGCTCTTTAGCAGTTTTACCCCAAATGGAACACACCTGACTGGGGGGCGAACAGGAACATGGCACTAAAGCTGTGCAGCTCTGCAGCGTTGTGTAAGCAGGCATCAGGGCCCGGGCTCAGCACTGCTGCGTGTGCATCTAGAGATCAGCGTCCAGACAGGCAGCTGAGTTAGAACACTCGCTGACACCGGAAGCTACAGTGGAAGGCGGTTCCCAGGGACACTGAAAGTTCTGAAGAATGAATATACCAACTTGTCCCGGCCTATTATTCTTTCCTATTGAATCTGGAACTGAAGCTTCTGATCACACAATACAGACAACGGGGTTTTCAAAAGCACGTGGCGAGATTTTTAGTTTCAGGGGATGCTCTGCAGCCCTGCATCAACCCAAACACACAAACGAGTACAAAGACTCCCAGGAACCTCAGGCTCCTGGATGAAGGCCCTGCTTCACTCACCCAGAGCTGCACCTGCGTGGATGTCGGTGGGCAGGAGAGAGAAAGCAGACCTCCCCACCGCTGGTCCACCACAGTGAGTCCCGCTTGCCCTACCTCCAACTGAGAAGCAGCTGATTCCTCAGGAAGCGGAAGGCGGATGTGTATCAAGCCAAGAGTCCCGAACTCGCAGAGCCAAGAGCATCTCGGTGGGGACGCGTCTCGTGGAGAGACAGGGAAGCTCGCTCTGGACAAGATTTAACACGTCCTGTCTTTCTTTCTCCAGGAAGGAGGTGCGGGAGCTGGGGCTGGTCATCCTGGTGGACGCACGCAAGAGCCTGGCCGCCCCCGCCCTCTCCCAGGCCCTGGCAGCCCTGCAGGTGAGCAGGTGGGTCCCGTCCTGGGGCGCTGAGCTTCTCCAGGCACAGGGGGTCAGCGGCCGCCACCTCCCTCGTGTGAATCTGGAGACGTGGGGAGGGGCCTGTGCTTAGAGGTGGAAGGAGCAAAGCAGGTTCCTGCTTCTGCCCCCTCCCGGCCTCGCTGCAGACCTTCAAGTCCAGCTGGCCAGGGTCAGCTGTGCAGACGTTCTGCTTTGTGCTCTGACTCAGCAGGAACGGTGATGACGTCCCTTCACACCGTCTCTGTGTCTACTGTCCGACTAAATCCGGGTGCAGGGTAGTTAGTCACCCTCCCAGACAGGAATGGAGGCCTGCAGGGGCGGCCGCCACTCACTGTGGGGTGCGGGCCCTGGTCATTGGGCGGCCAGGAGTCCCAGAGCCCTCTGGGACGGGGTCAAGGCCAGTGGTCTAGTGGTGGCCTCAGGAAGCCCCAAGCCTGGATTCCAGGTCATGAGTAGAATCCAGGGAGTCCCTGGAACAGGGAGAGAGGCACCACTGCATGTTTCAGGGACCCAGGGCCAGATGGGAGCCTGAGAACATTCAGTCTCCCTCAGATGTGTGCACACGGGGCTCCTGTGTGCCAAGCGCTGTGCTGGGGTCCAGGCTCTCGGAGGCACCTGGAGCTGCAGCTGCTCCGGCGGCTCCTGAGCACCGTTTCCTCTGTTCCATCTCTAATGGTACAGCACTGGTCACTGTTCTCACCCAGGCGCCTACATTTTAGGGACGCCGAACAGAAGTTCTTTCAAGGAAAGATTTAGTGAGTGAGGTTGGAGCAAGTCTGACCAGCTGGAGAGCAGAGTCTGGGGAAAGCAAAGAGGGGCCCAGCAGACAGGCTCTGCGCGGGGCGGGGCTCGGGGGAGGCCAGGCCGGAGCGGCTTGGGGAGAGGCTCCGAACTTCCAGGCGAGGGGAGAGGTGGGCACAGCGTGCTGTATGCCGTGCCGCGTGCTGTACCGCGTGTGTGTTGTGTGCGGGACGGAGCAGAGCAGGGCCAGACAGCCAGGAAGACGCAGATGCACGTCTGCACACCCTGCGGGCGTTTCCTAAAGCGGGAGGACTGGCAGCTCTGCTCCTTTGGCATCCGATGGGAACGTGAATATCATCAACCATGAAGAGCCCGTGGAAATCAGGCGGAGACGAGCGAGCCCTTCGCAGAAAGTCTGCCGCGCTTCCCCACCCTAGCTGTTGACCTGAGATCTAGGCAGATCGGACCTGGCCACTTACCGGTTTCCCCAGCATTTCTTTTTGTTCAGACTTCCCTTAAATCCTGGGCCACTCAGGTCCCATGTGGGAGTCAGGCCTGAGAGCGGTGGTCCCTGACCACCCACGCAACTCCCAGAGCAGAAGCTAGGAGCTGGGGAAACGTCAGCTACGTCTGGGACCTTTTATCACACGCGAATAGTCTAAGGAGCTTCATGATGGGGTTACGAGAGGAGATCCAATTCTTTTCCATGTCTGGACATAACTGTTCCACAAAGCTGGCTTTCAGACAGCCCTGAGGGCCTTGCAGAGAAAGCTGGCCTGCAGACCTCTGCCCTGTTTTTGGCTCAGCTGACAGCAAGATTTCCGATGCACATGAGAGGAATGGAAATGAGCTGGAATTTAAGGATCATGTGTCCATTTTCAATTTAAATTTTGAGGGATGTATAAAAGTACTTAAATATTTTTACAAAGGGCAAAAACTTTCAGCTGTTCTTCATATTTACCTCAAGTAAGTATACTTCAAATTTGTTAAATTATTAAAGTTCAGATACCATAAAAAGCTTTCCATTTTGAAAAGGGAATAGTGACTTTTTTCCCTTGGTGGAAGAAACTCCTGAGACTTTGCGCATCCCTTACCCCACTCACAGCAGGTAACTATTACCTTATTAACATGGTAATTGTCATAAATCATTAACTGTTCTCTCTTATCTGAGAATTAACATTAATTCTCTTTGGAATAGTAACAAATCCTAATAGTAAAAATTCACTCAAATAGGAATATATAAGAAATATAAAACACTTTTCCAAACTGTTTGTAGTTTTAATGCAGGATAACTCAAAATTTTAGCTAAACTGAGTAAGAGAAATAGAATATGGCTCTAAAATAGGAAAACAAGATTGTTCTTTTCTGTGGCTTTTCTATGGCTTATTCATTCAACAAATATTTACAAAGTGTCATCCACAAGAAGCCACTTAACAAAAATATAAGTACATAGGATGAACTTAAAATAGATAAGATATCAGTTAGTCCTGAGGCTCATCCAGTAAATTCATTTCAAACTAGGGGATTACAAAAAAGCCTAAAATTTGTTTATAAGAAAGTATTAAAAAGTAAAGCCTTAGGGAATATGAATGAAGAAACACTGGGTAAATAAAAGCATCTTATTGCGGAATGATCTGGCCTCAGTATAATCTAGCAGACAGAAACAGGAGTTTGATTAAAGTCATAAACACTCTCTAAAAATAAGATTTTTTTCAACCAATAGAGTTGGAACAATTGGACATCTGTATGCAAAAGAAAAGAGAAAAAAGAAATCTTCAACACATACTTCATATGATATATAAAAATTAACTGAAAATGGATCTTAGACCTACATGTAAAATCTAAAACTGCAAAACCACCAGAAGAAAACAGAAAATCTTCATGACCTTGGTTTAGTCAACTATTTCTTAGCTCTGACCCCAACAGCATAATCCGTAAAAGAAGAAAATGATAAATTGAACTTCATCCAAATTTAAAACTTCTCAGAAGACATTGTTACTAAAATGAAAATACAAAGCCAAGACTGTGATAAATGTTTGCAAAACACATATCTGATAAAAGACTTGTATCTAGAATATATAAAGTCTCAGAACTCAATAGAAAGAGAAAAAAAGTCCAGTAAAATATGGGCAAAATATTTGAACAGACTTTACCAAAAACAATTGATGAACGGGAAATAAGCACATAAAAATATGGTCAGGGCTTCCCTGGTGGCGCAGTGGTTGGGAGTCCGCCTGCCGATGCAGTGGACGCGAGTTCGTGCCTGGATCTGGGAAGATCCCACATGCCGCGGAGCGGCTGGGCCCGTGAGCCATGGCCGCTGAGCCTGCGCGTCCGGAGCCTGTGCTCCGCAACAGGAGAGGCCACAGCAGTGAGAGGCCCACGTACCGCTAAAGAAAAAAATATATATATGTTCAACGTCTTTAGTCACTGGAGAAATGCAAATTAAAACCAAAATGAGATCACACATACAACTACAACCACAAACTTGACAAGAACAAGACCGGGGTGTTGCTGGTGGGATGCAGGACAGTGTAGCCACTCGGGAAGACTATTTGGCTGTTAGTCACAAGCTAAACATACACTTAACCATAGCACCCGGCAAACCAATGGCTGGATAGTTACACAAAAGAAATGAAAACACAGTGTTTACAGGCTTTGTTTATGATTGCCAGAAACTGGAAACAACACACATGTCCTTCATCTGCTGAGTGAATGACAAGACTGTGGTGCCTGCAGTCGAGGTAACATGATGAGCAGTGAGAGGCGTGAGCTACTGACCTCCCAGCAATGGGGATGCGTCTCAGGGCAGTGTGCTAAGTGAGAGAAGCCGATACTGCACTGCATGAGTCCGCTCATATGATATGTGGAAAGGCAGTTTACGGAGACAGAAAACAGATGGGTGATTGCCAGGGACTGCGGAGCTGGACTACAAGGCGCGTGAAGAAATGTGCGGGATGCTAAACTGTCTTATTTCTTCATTGTGGTGGTGGTTACGTGACTATAAGTTAGGCCAAAACTTAGAGAACTGTACACAAAACAGGGTGAATTTATCCTATGTTAATTATAATCAATAAACCTGATTACCTTAAAATTCATAAGGGCAAATAATTTATATTCACAGCAAAGGCAACTACATTTTATGCATTTTAGGAACTTTTGGAACATATCAAAGTAGAACCAATAAAAATTGGACAATTTTATTAACTCAATGAAGTTAAAAATTAGAAAGCTAATCAGTATTTCTTATTTCAGAACACATCTCCTCCCTTAATTCATAGTATTTTGCTGCTGGTGGATAAAGAATCAGCATTTAGGCCTGACAAGGATGCAACAATTCAGGTAATGGTTTTAGACTGACTGATGACTCTGACAGATAGACCCTGAGTGATGCATAAAATTAAATATTAGGGCACCTAGATGAGATAACGCACGAAAGAATTTCTGTAAGATGTAGTTGCTTCCATACAGGAGCCTGGAAACCTGTCTCCAATGCCTTGAATTCTTGCAGGACCCCTGCAGAGCATAACATTAGAAAACTTTTAAAAATCTGGTTTTTCTTCTCCACCTCATTTGTTTTCTTTCCTTCTCTTCTTGCTTCTTTCTCTTTTATCTGAAAATGTCTTTACCTTGCCTTCATTCATTTTTTTAAAATGTTCTCTCTTCCCCTCAGATTTCTTTTCTGTTTTTCTTTATTTTTCTTTACTTATTTTTGGCCATGCCACGTGGCTTGCGGGATCTTAGTTCCTGACCAGGAATCGAACCTGTGCCCCCTGCAGTGGAAGCACAGAGTCCTAACCACTGGACCGCCAGGGAGTTCCCAGCCTTCATTCTTGAAGGATATTTTCGCTAGATATAGAACTCTGGCTTGACAGTAGTTTGTTTGTTTTTTCCGCACTTTAAAGATGTTGTTCTGGTGTCTTCTGGCCTTCCTAGTTTCTGATGAAAAGTTCATAGTAAAAAAGTTCATCTATAGGAAATGTGTCATTTTTCTCTGGCCACGTCTAAGATTTTCTCCTTCTTTTTTAGCAAATTGACTATAACGTGACTCGGCATGGTTTTCTCCTTATTTATCCTGTTAAGTTTGGCTGAACTTCTTGAACATTTACGTTTATGTTTATCACCAAATTTAGGAAGTTTTCAATCATTATTTCTTAAGAGTCTTTTCTGCTCATTCTCTCCTCTCTTTCTTGATTTCAGTTACACATACAGTAGTGATATTGTCCCATAAGTCTTTGAGAATCTGGGAGGTTTTTTCACTTTTTTTCTTCTCTTTTCTTCAGATCAGATTGTTTCTCTTGACCTATCTTCAAGGTCACTGACTCCATTCAGCTATTAAGCCCATCCAGTGAGTTTTTTCGTTCAGATATTGTGTTTTTCAGCTATAAAATTTTCAGTGGGTTTTAAAATAGATTTTCTATGTTTCTGCTGAGATTTCCTATTGTCTCATTAATTGCAAGCATCTTTTCCTTTACATCATTGACATAGTTATAATAGCTGTTTTAAAGTCCTGTTGTAATTAATTACAACATCTGTGGTCTTTCCTGGGTTGATCTCTGTTGATTGTCTTTTCCTGAAGCTTCAGAATAGTCACATTTTCCTGATTCTTTGTGTGTCAAGTAATTTTGGATTATCTTTTGAACATTGTGAATATTCTGTTGTAGAGACTCTGGATTCTATTATAAACCTTCACAGAATGCTGTTTTAGCATGCATTTAACTTGATTAGACTGAGTAGGTCCAATTGCACACAACTGGAGCTCCCTTTCCCCAGCTTTCTCCGTGGGGTGGATATTGACCTTCACGTTCTGCCCCAGCTCTATCCTCTGGCTGTTTAGGCCAGAAAGATGCCCATTTTCTATCAGAGCTTCAGCCACTCCAGCCTCACCATATTGGCAGCCTGCCTTCAGGCCAAAGCCACAAAAACAGGGAGCCACCCCATGCCAGTCCCTTCACCCAGTTTCAGTTGCCTCCATGGTGGCTTTGTTCACCCTCCAGAGCTTTCGGATGGCTGTCATTATACTTTATCCAGAGTCTGGTTTTGTCTGGGGAGGTTCAACTCTGCCAAACCAGAAGTAGCTCATCCTTGATTCATCCTCTCACTTTTCCCTTCCTCGTCCTGCCCTTTCCCTTTTCCTGTTAACATCTTGCCGTCTGTTCTTCCCCAACTTTTCCATTCTTTTGGTCTTTCCTCTATTTCTCTTTGCTGTCTCTCCTTTCACGTCTCAGTTAGATTCCTGTGTCCACCCACATATACTCCAGTAATGCCACCAGCAGGCAGGATAGCTGAACCCTAAAGTTGCTTCTCAATCCTCCCAACCGAGTAACCCAGCAGTTTTCCCGGGAGTGAGCCATTCTAGTGGTTTTTCCCGAGAGCTGCGTCCATGGCCATGACCAGTGAATGCCTTCCTTGGCAGTGTGAGCTGGTGGGTTCCCTGAAGGCCCTGCACAAATTTGTCGACAGCTCCCAGCTGACTGCAGACCTCGAGGGCTCCTTTCCCTACAGCCACAGTGCCTGGATCTGCTTCCGTCGGGTAAGGTGCAACTCACAGCTGCTGCACATGCCAGTCTCCTGGGCTTCTCCTTAGATGGATTTTTTACTTAAATCAGAAAAGGGCATCCCCCCACCAAGTGTCACACCTGTCATAGTCGCCATCAACAGTCTGTTTCTGGACAGCCACACCATGGCACCCTTGAGAATGCCACTGAAACCCCTCCCTGGGCAGGGGAGGAACTTCTATTGATGTGCAGAGGTCACCGGGCGGCAGGCTTTGCAACCTGAGATGGGTTTAAATGTGGGAACTCACAGCTGCTTGTTTCAACATCTAACAGAACCTGTCTTTATGTCTCCTGGCTCTCAAACCTCAATAGAAGCTGGAGCCCTTCACCTCAAACTGCGAGGAAGCCATTGTTTTCCTACAAAATTCAGTCCACTCCCTGAACACCCACAGGACCCCAAGCACAGCACAGGTAGGTTCTCGTGTATTTTATTTTATTTGACAGATAGGTGGGAACACAACAGTTGGGTCAAAACCATCATCCTCAGCAAAAATTTTCAAGCCCTTTTTCATTCATAGATCCCTTTCAATTAGCAAAAAACTTCCCTTGTGACCAAAAAAATCCCACTCTGCCCAGAAAAGAAACATCACCACTACATTTGCTGACATGCCACCGAGGCACAAGTGATTTGCTGTCAGGAGACACAGAGGTGGACTGGCTGGAGGGACCTCGACAGCCTAGGAACCAGGGCCCTGGAGATGCCTCCCGGTCCCAGGGTGCGCGGTGAAATCCACGGCCTCGTCTAAATGCCAGCATCTCCTCCTGCTGCCGCCTTTAAGCTTCCCTCTTGCTTTCTGCCCTCAGATCTCCCTTTCCTTGGGCAAGGGCATCTGGAGCTGTGCTACGTTCCTACGGGGACTGGGCGGCGTGTGGGGTGTGCCAAGCCCACCCACTTTTAGCTCGGTTGACAGAGCAAGGACGTGGGTCACGCTGACGTGTCCATTAGCGCTAGGCTTGGGAGGACTGGAGGAGGGCTTCCAAGCACGTTTCTCCTACCCCGGGCAGGAGGTCGCAGAGTTGATCGGCAAGCACAGGGCGATGATGAAGCATGTCCTGGAAGACGCGCGGCTGGTGGCCCTCCGGCTGGAAGGCGGCACCGTGCTGGCACGGCTGAGGAGGGAGGAGCACGGCGCCGGCCAAGACTACCAGTGAGTGTCCCGCTGGGGCAGCGCTGGACCGCAGCCCAGCCGGGGCGATTCCCAGCGCTCTGCCCAGTCACAGGAAGCCCGTCTTCATCACCTGCAGTGTCTCCAAGGAGTTCAAACCTCCATTCCTCTGACGGACACACTGTGACTGACCAGAGATTAATTCCCTTTGTAACTGAAGGAAGCCTAGCAGATTCCTTGGAAGGCTCAAGTGGAGAAGGGTCACTTCCTGGGATTCAGCATCCGTCCTAACCAAATGCTTCCTTGCCTGTTGCCTCCCGGGCACCGGGTCCACCCACCCACATTTCCCTGCCACCTCCGGGGTGCCTGCACCTGTGGCTGGCAGGGTGTTGCAGCTCACAGGCGTGTTTATGCTCTGCTCAGGCTGTGGGCCTCCTCGGGGGCTTCCGTTTTTGTCAGATGTACAGAGTGCAGCTGGTGTTTGTAACCAGGTGTCACCGACTCGGGGCTTGCTGTGAACAAACACTCCGACAGCTGCCTTCTCTTTCCAGGGACACCATCGAGGCTGCCTGCAGGCTGTACAACCAAGTAGACGAAGAGGTCCACAGGCTGGTCCTCGCCTCCAACAGGTGTCTGCAGGCACTGGAGAAGCTCCAGGAGCGAGGACACCAGTCAGGGCTCCAGGGGGGAGGTGACCAGGTCAGTGTCCGGGAGAGGTGACCAGTCAGGGCTCCAGGGGGAGGTGACCAGTCAGGGCTCCAGGGGGAGGTGACCAGTCAGGGAGCCAGGGGGAAGTGACAGTCAGGGCTCCAGGGGGAGGTGACCAGTCAGGGCTCCAGGGGGAGGTGACAGGGCTCCAGGGTGGAGGCGACCAGGTCAGTGTCCGGGAGAGGTGACCAGCCAGGGCTCCATGGGGAGGTGACAGGGCTCCAGGAGGAGGAGACCAGTCAAGGCACTAGGGGGAGGTGACAGTCAGTGCTCCAGTGGGGAGGCTACCAGGTCAGTGTCCTGGGAGAGGTGACCAGTCAGGGCTCCAGGGGGAGGTGACAGTCAGGGCTCCAGGGGGAGGTGACAGTCAGGGCTCCAGGAGGTATGGCACTGGGCTACCTGACATAACCAGTGTAACACTCACTATTTGAATCCAGATCTTCTTTATATTCATATGCATATAACGATTTCCAAAAGCTTATGTTTTTCAAGTAAAATCCTTATTATTTTATCAGCCATTGTTTCCTGGTTAGTGAATGTGAAGCCAGGGCCCCCCGCCCAGCCAGCAGCATAGGGGCAGTGAAGAGTGGCTGGAGACTCTCTGGACCTTCAGCTGGCCCTGCATCCTCCAGTGTCTGGTCACCGTGGGGCAGTCAGGGTGGGAGGGGCGCCACCCCCAGGGCACCCCAGGCTGGTCCCCAGGACAGCCAGCAGTCACAGTGGGGTTGCACACTGTGTATTTTCCCTCCCTGGTCTCCCCACAAACAGCCCTAGCGCCCAGCCACGGGCCAGTGGGGGGCCTGGGTGGTGGGAGATGGTGACCCAGCTGATCCAGGCTGCAGGGAAGCACAGACAAGGGGCTGACCAGCTCACCTGGGCCCGGTGATGGCAGCCTGGAGCATGGCTGACTCGAGACACCCCAGCCTGGGGGTGGGCCCTGCCTGGGGCTCCTCCATCCTGTGGGGTCCCCCGTCTACCCGTAGGGTCGATTCCCTGGCCTCTGGGGCCTCCTCCATCCTATGGGGTCTACTGTTTCTTATATATTATGTATTTTATTACAAAATGCCCTCCAGGACTTCCCAGAGGAAGGATGGAAACTCTAAGACCTGCACACCCGATGCTGTCTCTTCTCCTTCACAGTTCTCGGTAGTTTATTCTCCCGCCGGAACAGAGGCACCGTACTGGTCATTTAGCCTCACGGGTTGCGGTGGAGAGTCTGTTCTGCTGCACTCTCGGCCTTGGGCTGGGCCCTGCTTTCTGCCGGGAACCTCGTCCACCTCTGGTCCTCAGGCCGCCTCCGCCTGGTGAGCAGAGGCTCCTCCTTTGCCTCCCTAGGCTCTGGGGATTCTGGGGTTTCTTGATGAGCACCCCCGTTTCCCAAATTCCACGCTTCCTGCTGGTCCGCTCGTTTTCTTCCTTTTCCATTTTCCATGTCGCTGGCCTTTTCCTCTACTTTCAGAGTAGATTTTATCGACTTTATCTTCTAACCCCACTTGTGTGTTTCTGCCTCTGCTCTAACGTTGTTAACTTCCATGGGGGTTTTGTTTGTTCATTCCTCTCAATGGACCTTCTTCACAGCACCTGACTTACTCTTGGCTGAAATACTGGTCGTGGTGTCTGCCCAGCCTCTCTCCCCTCCGAGGGGGCTTCTGCAGGCCTGTTCTGGCTGGAGGCTCTCCTGGTGATCCTAGGTTGCCTGCCCAGCTGCCGAGTGGGGCGGGGCCGCTGGAGGCCCCTGCTGGGCCCACCTCCTGGGCTCGTGGGCTCCTCCAGAGATGCGGCCTCCGACCCCCGAGGGGAGGGCCTGGCTGCACGTCAGGGAGGAGGTGAGACTCCGTGTTCCCGTGGCCTCTGCCTGCCTCCCCCTGTGCAGAGAGCACCCGGGCGCTGCGGGGTGGACGGCGCGTGCACTGGGGCCCCCACCTCTCGCAGCTCCAGGTCTCCCTCACCTCCTCGTCAGCTGCGCCACCTGCGCAGGATGCCCAGGGCCCCCAGTGTCCCTCCTTCCCAGCCTGTCTGTTGTCCCCATCCTTTATACCTTGAAAGAGGTTACTGAAGCTTTAGCAGTGTTCCAGGAGGGATCAAAGTTAGATAAGTTTTAGCCTGCCGTCTTCACCCAAAACTAAATACACTTTAACCTAAAAATGGGATCATCCTATATAGTGTGTTAAGTTGCTTTTTTTTCCTAAGCAATTGCACGCACACTGTGGAAGAACTAGAGAGGACCTAGGTTTTAACCACAGTGAGATCCTGCCTCATGCGCTCCTCTGGCGGGCCCTGAGGTGGGGCTGCATGGGCACGCACGCCGGTGGGAGTCCCCGGGGCTCTGCCCTGCTGTTCGCTATTACAGACATCGCCACCTGCACATCCTTCACATCGCCACCTGCACATCCTTCACACTTGGTGATTGTTTGCAAATTCCTAGGCTGGATTGGAGGGTCAGGGTGCACCTCCTGAGGTTTTCAGACATCTTCCAGCAGCCTTCCAGACAGCTGGCCCAGCCTGGGCTCTCGGCAGCCTTCGGAGGCCGGCTTTCTCGTTTGCCATCTGACAGGTGACGATAAAGTGTCTCATCATTGTCTGCATTCGGATCTTTTATGCTGCAGTTGAACCTTTTCTGCCTACATTTATTGGTTATTTTTACTTCCCTAATAAATTGCTTTTTCGTGTACTTGGCCAATTTCCCTACAGTTTGTAATAGTTTCATTATGTCACTTCTAATCCTTTGATTGTGTTGCAGATATTTGTAATTTGTCCTTTAACTTTGCTTATGATTTATGTGGCTTTTCCTGTCTTTCGGTTACAGAATGACTAATGTATTCCATTATAAGACTTTCATGGTTTGAATTTCTCCATTTAATTTTTCAAACCGACTGGAATTTATTTTTTCTCGAGGTCGGAAGTGGGACTCCACCTCTGAGGCGCCTCTGCCCTGCTGACCATTTCCTCTTCTCTACCTGGCAGTTCTAGGACTGCAGGTGCTTCCTTGCAAAAATCTAGGTTTGATGGTTTTTTTCCATGACTCTGTCCACAAAGAGCATGTACTCTGGTCTCTCTCCTCTGCTCATACATCTGAGTTCATTAAATACAATTATTGTTCTGATAGATCCAGCCCAATCGCTCCATTTTTTAATAGCAAACCTCTTCCTGGGTGTCTAACGACCGGATGCCCCTGCATTGCCCTGTGAGGGTTTGCCTCTGACGTGCCCGCACTGAGCGTAGTGCTGTTGCCATGGGAACTGCGTCTCTAAAGTGATGACCGTGACCACATCGGACTGTGTAGGTGCAGGCAGGCCTGCCATCGCCCCTCCGTCCCTCCCAGGTGCCACCAGCCTGAGGAATGTTTCTGGAGTTTGTGTAGCATAGTAACAAGTTTTGAAACTGAAACTTCTGGATCCATTTTTCAATGATCTTAATTTCCACCTCCAAACAATTAAAAGTTATAAACGTGAGCCGTGGAGGTCTGTGGTCATCCCAGTCCCTCTCCAACCCAAGCGTCACTCCCACTCACAGATTGAAAAGTCACAAGTGAGAACCGTGGTTCAGACTGAGGCCGAGTAGCCTTCGGATGCGCTCAGGAGACGCCGTTCAGACGAGGCGTGTGGCTGTAGGAATCAGATGCACCGGCCGCCCCGAGGCGGCATCTGACACCTCCTTTGTCCTCCGAAGTCTTAGGGCCGGACTCCTTAGCACATTTAAAAGTAAAACCTTCTTTTCCTACGTAGACCACATCGTGGTTTGAAAAAGAAAGAGAGAAATTCCTCGGGCCTTTGGAGCTGCTGTCTCTGGGGAATGCAAAGCAGTGGCAGGCGTCCCAGGCTCTCCCGGACAGGCTGACGGTGGGTGCCCACCAGGACACATGCAGGGACACCCAGGGCACTGCTGGGGCTTGTTCTGATTCTTTGCTCCTTGGGCCGCAGCAATATCGTCCGAAAGGGCTACGGCTGATGGAAGAGGACTTGCAAGGTGCAGAGGAAGGGACCCAGGACTTCAGAAGGAGTCTGAGCGCCAAGGCCGGCCTGGCTGAGCGGAGGGAGGGTGAGCTGGCCAGGCAGGCCCTCGGGTCCGAGTCCTGCGAGACGGTAAGAGCCCTGGCCCAGTCCCTCCCAGGGTGTGCACACGTTGCCCAGTCCTTGCTGCGGACATTCGCTGCGAGGTGGGCGCCCCCCCGCCAGGCTCTCCGTAGACCTGTGAGGGGTTTATTTATTGTACCGGACAGACAGGCCACGAGGACTCGTGAACTGTTCTTTCTGTTTACCGGCTCAGTTATAAAAGTCCACTTACTGTCAAAGATCCCAGAACGATTGCAGCACAGGCGCACCCGCACTCTCGCTAGCGCCCTAGAATTCCTGCCGTTAGGGCGCCAGGGCCAGACTCCTCAGGAGCACAGAACCCAAGAGGCCAGGGCAGGCCTGGAACTCTCGGCCCGATGTCCCTGGCCCATGGGTCGCACACCAGGCGGACCGTCTCACGGCCTCTCCAGCCCTGATGCCCACGGTCGAGTCCGGCCGGCAGTTGCCACCGCGAGCACAGGGTCTTCCTCTCACTCTGGCCTCTGGCTCACCCTGGTCCTCGCTTTGGGCGACCTGGTCAGCAGGCAGAGCGTGACCTGAGTTTACTCAGGGTGCTGGCTCAGGCCGCCCAGGCCGCCTTGGCCGTGACTGTCCTTCACTGCACTGACCGGTGCCCTCCTGTGCCGGGCAGGTGAGCGGGCGGACGCTGCGGTGCAGTCAGTGCCTAGAGCACCCGGACCCAGAGCTGGTCACCGAGGATCTGAAGCGGTGTCGCCGGCAGGCCGTGCAGAGCTTCCCCAGGGCGAGCGTGGTGGTGGTGGGCCCCGGCGGCCAGTGGGCGCTGCCACGGGGCCAAACCTTGTGGCTGCAGAGCCGGCAGACCCGACGCCACTGGCAAGAGGCCCTTGGAGAAGAGGCCCCGGGCCCCGGCACCCTGCCTCTGGGCTGGAGCCCCCTGAAGCACGAGCTTGCCCAGGGACCCGAGGGGCAGCCCCTTGAGCCTTCCTGGACCCCTCCTGCTGACCCCGAGGGCCGAGCTGGGGAGTGGGCCTGACTGCTGCCCGGCCTCGCCGGACAAGCTGCTGTGTGTGGGCAGGGCGAGCACCTGCGCCCAGGTGTGCACGCACAGGACAGCAGCGGCACCTGCTCCCCGCCCACCCCAGGAAGCACCCCCCGCAGAAAATTAGGAAGAAAGCACAAAGCTTCGCGACTCCTCAGCTTGACAGTGGCCCCAGCGACTCCCTCCGGCTGGGCCACACTGGGGTCTTCATCAAAGGCCTGGAGGTGATCGGCACTGCTGTGGCCTCAGAGAAGCGGCCCCCGCTGAGGCCACGTGCCGAGAGCCCTCGGCTCCCTCGGAACCGGAGTCTGTCCTCTCCCTCCAGGACCCACCCCTCCGAGGAGGATGGGAAGGGCAAGCTGAAAGGTGAGGCAGATGCCCTCAACCTGTGGGCCTAGTGGTCAGTGGGGTCTAGAGACCCAGAGCCGTGAAATGCCCTTCCCCAGCGTGGGAAACCCACGGACGCCCCCCGGGCCTTCCGCGTCAGGTCCAGGCTGAAGCACTCACGTCTGATTTTAAACAAGACGTTAGTGATCTCCCTGTGCTCAGAACAGAATCTCTGGCAGCCGCCTCCTTTTTCGGGGCGTGTGGTGACCCGGCGCCCCCACTCTGATGGTTAGACAACCAGAGCCCATTTCCAGGAAATCACAACAAGCAAGCCAAGCCCACAACGTGAAGAAATTACTTTAAAAATTGCTTTTAAAAAAGTCTCTAAGTATTGAGGTGAGAGGTGTGTGCCCGTTTATCTGTTGCCCAAATGAAGATGTCCGTTTATCTTGTTAAATCTTTAGGAAGATGTTTGCAAAAAGATACTTCTTGTTAACTGTCTGGATAAAAAGTGGTCAAGGACCCCGCCCACCCCAGTGACAGTCCGTGACGCCAGCCTGGCCTCCCAGCCTCTGGGTTGTTTGTCCCTGTTTGCAGTGAGCCCTGGCTGGAGGAGCATCCCCTGGTGTCCTTTGCTCGTCGGATGGGTCCACGTGTGTTTCCTCCAGAGAGCAGCTCGAATCTGAACTGAGACGGTTACAAAATGCTCTTCTGAAACAACCTTCAACCACCTTGTTAAAGGTGGACCTTGTGGGGTGTGGGCAGGCGCAGGGAGAGCTGCGTGTCTGTGGATGGCCTTCCAGCTCATTTTGAAGGTGTCTGGGCAGCAGAAGGCAGGGGTAGGCGTGGTCCACTCACCGGGAGCCGCCTGGCCACCCAGAGTGCACGTCCTGGGTCTGGGAGGGAGCAGGTTGGCGAAGCTGTCCTGCCTTTGCCGCTGGGGATGGGTCCCCCTCCCGCCATTCACGGGCCTCAGACCCACCAAGCCCAGGCCTGGCGGTGGGGACCTCGCACACCACCTTCAAGGGAGCGAGTCCTCCCACATGCCGGGGCCAGGGCGGGAGCTTTGCGTGGACCGCCCCGTCTTCCCGGAAACCCAGCTGTCTGGAGGGAGCTCCTGCCGCTTGGCCAGCAGTCATTTCCCCAGAACTTTCCATCCTTTATGAGTCAATTTCCATTTACTTGGTCCAGATGCCCAGACCATGCTAGTGTGTGTTTTTTTTCTGGATATTGAAGAAGAACACTTGTTTTCGGCGAGTGTCTACAGGAGGTGACTCAGCGGCCGTGCATGGGTGTGACAAGAGCACCTCGCGTGGCAGCAGCTGTGTTTGTCGGCACTGCCACCGCCAAGGGCTCCAGGGCCCCCACCACCAGAAGGCGCCGTCTTCCCAGAAACAAGAAGCACCTGTAAAATCCGTGCTGCAGGCATGAGAGGGGCCGTCCAGGGTCTGCTGCAAACAGGATGAACTCACAGCATTCTGACCATGGTGCATTTCCTATGGTTAGCTGCTTTTCTTCCAATTAAAAAAAAAAAGTAAAGACAGATAATGGCAGGAAAAACTCTACCAACCCCCACTGGTGTCATTAGGATGGAGTAGTTTCAGAAGGTGGCTGGTGGGATGCTCTCAAATAGGGAAGAAACGCGTAGTGTGCGTGGGGACCTCCAGCCCAGACAGGCCCCTCTGCCTACTGTCCATCTCCGCAGCACACTGGCCCCCAGGCCTACTCTCCGTCCTCTGCTGCAGCGGCTTCTGTGCATCTGGGTCAGAGGTCCCTGAGTAAAGCTGACTTTTCAGGGACGCCTTGTGGTAGGTTAGCCGCCGGTGTGCGCCAGAAACCGGTTTTCCCGCAAATCCCCAGCACAGCCTTCCTGGCAGAGGGCTCCCTGCTGCGGGCGTGCGAATCTTCTTCCTGCCAGAGCTGCCCGCTAAGACGGTGCTGGAATCAAGCCGTCTGGATTCAGGGTTGGAGTTAGGGAGCCTGCGAATCTCTCCTTTCCAGTTTCCGAAGGGATCTCTCTTCTGAAAAGGCCGTGGTCGGCAGCGTGGAAACGTCGCCACAGCTTTCCTTCTGCTGTGACCTCCCTGCGCTCCGCTACGCCAGAGGAGCGCCTCCAGTACCGGTGAGAGGACAGCTCAGGTGCGAAGCGCCTCCAAATTACTCGTCCCCAAAGACGGGAAACCACGGGAGACAGTGCTTTTGTGCGCCTCCCGTTTGTGCATACCGCGTTCATCACTCTGGAGTTTCAGTCTCTGGTTTCCTCCGAGGCAGGAATAACGCTGATGACGCGAGGCCTGAGCGTCCCCTCGGCTCTCTGTCTTTCAGCAGCCGACGCAGCACGTGATGGCCGAGATGATCTCCACGGAGAGGCAGTATGTTAGGTCCTTAGGATATGTTATCGACAACTATTTTCCAGAAATGGAAAGGACGGACCTGCCCCAGGACCTCCGAGGGAAGCGCAGCGTCATTTTCGGGAACTGGGAGACTCTCTACGCCTTCCACCACGGGCGCTTCCTCCCGGGGCTGGAGCACTGCCGGCACCGCCCCTGGGCCGTGGGCCACGCGTTCCTGAGATATGTGAGTCCCCAGCCCACTGTGTGAACAGGGTGAGGCCAGCCCCACTCGTGCTGGGAGCGGCCCACGTTTCAGGCGAGTGGATCCCTTGTGTCCGGGTCATGAGAGACGTCCCTGCCAGTTATGACCTGGCTCTGGACACTTGGGCCTCAGGGTCAGCAGACGGCACCCTGGTCGTGAGCCCCTCAGCACTGGGGCTGCACCTGTGTCATCACACCTAATCTGTCCACAACCCACCCCTCACAGCTAGCTGGAGCAAAGCAGCGTCCAAAATCGGTTTGCTCCCTGCACGTAGGAAGCCCACCTGGTCCCCGTCACGGTCTTCCTGCGAGCCTGCCCAGCTCCCCTTCCAGAGGAGCGCCAGACCCTCCTGATCAGCTCTGAGAGCCGCATGGATGTATAGATCATTCCGAGGAGACCTGAGGTTTTGATAAGTCTCTTCTCAACCATGAATATTGAGTCTTTATAAAATTCTTAATTTACTCTGAAAAGAAGGTTCTTTCAACAAGTAGTTAGTTACCAAACACAGTTTGGGGCACCGGGGCAGCGTCTGTGCTGGGGGCAGGTGACAGTCCTGGTTCAGCATTGTTAACTATGAATATGACAAAAGCACCGGTGCTGGAGCACGTCCCACATGTTGTGTCTTTTCAGCTATTTCTTAAAAAATGCTTTTAGCCATTGCGTGCAGCTTCCGTGTTGTTTTATGTTGACAGTGATCTTGAGAATTTTAAATGTTTAGCCAAAGTTGGTTCTTGACTGTTAATGAATATTTCAAACCCTCCCTCGCGCCCACCCCCTGAGCACCCCTCTTGCCTCTTCCCTGAAAACTGGTATTTTGAGACTGAGTCTAGGGCTCCCACCACGTCCGGGGAGCCGAGTGCCCGCTCCCGACTGCGGCGAGACCCTGCGGAGCTGGGCGGCCTCTGACCCCAGCCCTCCCTTCGCAGGAGGAGCAGCTTGGCAGGAACGCGCTGTACAGCAAGAACAAGCCCGGGCGGACGCCCTGCTCTGCAGCCACGGCAACGCCTTCTTCAAGGTCGTCGTCCCGCCCGTGAGCCTTGCTGCCTGGCCTGGCCCGGGCTGACCCTATCGCCCGGCCTTGCAGAACAAGCAGCAGGAGCTGGGTGACAAGATGGACCTGGCCTCCTACTTGCTGAAGCCCGTGCAGCGCGTGTGCAAGTACGCACTGCTGCTCCGGGTCCTGGTCCAGGAGGCTGGCGGCTGCCCCGCCCGTGAGCAGGCGCTGGGCGAGCTGAGGGCCATAGGACAGGCCTGCGGGGAGGCGCCCACACTTGAGACCCCCCAGACCCCCGCCCAGAGGGAAGGGAACGCCCGGGAGAGGCTGCTGGGGCGGGAGCCACGGGAGGAGAGGCAGGCGGGCTCTCAATGTTAAACGTCGGTGTTTGGGGCTACTCTGAAATAACTGGATATGGGAAAAACTGAGCTTGGCCTTAGGCTGTGGGCCTGAGCCTACCGATTCGCCCCCTGTGGGGGCCATGGTGGGGCCAGCGCCCAGGGCCAGGAGGAAGAGCGGACCTCCCGGTCAGGCAGGACCGCCCCGAATTCCCCGTCCCAAGTGAAGACGCGGTCGCCTTGTTAGAGCAGCGTTAGTAAGAGTTCCAAGACGACAGATCGGCCCCAGGCGGCCACCGCAGACCCGAAGGCCCCCGAGCCCTCTGTCCAGTGAGCTCAGCCCAGCGATTTGGGACAGCCCAGGCGTCACCCAGGACAGGGCCGTCCACGGGAGGCAGGGGGGCACCTCCCATGAAGGGGCGGCCTGGCTGGGTGCAGTTGACCCTCACGCAGCTGTCGCCTTGTGGAAGCTTCATTACAGGGGCGCGAGGGCAGGGCTGGGATCAGGTCATGCCCCGTCCCCCTGAGAGAGGCCGGCCTGCCTGCAGGTGGATCTGAAGGAACAGGGGCGGCTGATATGCCAGGACGAGTTCCTCGTTTGCTGCCGAGGGAAGAAGCACCTGAGGCGTGTGTTCCTGTTTGAAGACCTCATCCTGTTCAGCAAGACCCAGAAGGTGGACGGGGGCCACGACGTGTACGCGTACGAGCAGTCCTTCAAGGTACCGCGTCAGGGAGGGCGCTGGGGGCCAGAGGGAACGCCAGGTTATTTGCTATTGCGGCTCTTAGGCTGAATTTTGGAGCCTGGGGCCTCTAGAAGCCGCAAGGAGCCATTTGTCCTTCGTGTTCCACGTGCCAGTCCAGGGGCTAGAAAACAAATGTCTCCTCGTCGGTGACTCCATTTCAGGTTTGGGTGAAGGTGGGCAGAGCACAGAGGCGGCCTTCCCCTGGGCGGTCTCAGGGCCTCCCCCCTCCCCCCAGACAGGCCCTGGGGGCGAAGTCTCCCGGGAGAGGCCCCACCACAACCCCTTCCCTGCCAGCGAGCTCATCGGAGGGGTCCTGTGATGACGCGCCAGGGAGCCCTTCTGGGGGGGGGGCACTGAGCCCTCACAAGGGAGCCAGTGTGGATGGCGGGGGTGGGGGCGAGGGGGAACGGGGGGGCAGGGGCGACGGGCTCCCGGCCCAGCCTCGTCCACACCACTCGGTGTCTGGGTGAGGGGACCTCCGGCACGGAGGCGCTGGGGTCAAGCGTCAGCCAGAGAGCGGTCAGTTGTCCAAAGGGCAGGATCTGAGGTCCCTCGCGGTGCTCGTGGCTGCAGATGGCACAGATCAGGATGACGGAGAACGTCGGGGACAGTGGCTTGAGGTTTGAGATCTGGTTCCGCAGGCGGCGGAAATCCCAGGACACCTACATTCGCCAGGCGAGCTCCGCGGAGGTCAAGACCTCCTGGACAGACATGATAGGGAAGGTCCTGTGGTGGCAGGCTCTGCGGAGCCGAGGTGGGCAGAGCGGCTGGAGGGCGCTCGGCGTGCAGGGCCAGCTCGGGCTGGGCTCGGGCTGGGCGCAGGGCTCGTGGTCGGTCCGAGGGGCTCCTTAGCACCGCCCATCAGCACCGAACACTTACTTCTCCTTAAAACAACAAGCAAGACCCCGGCCCCCATGCTCCGAGAGAGGTCTCAGCCCCAGCTCCCAGACGCCCTCAGACCCGTGGCGTCAGCTTCCTGCTCTCCCTGTGGTCAAGGCCTCGGCCTCCTGGACGCTGCGCCGATGGCCAGCCTGTGGTCTCCCCACAGGTAAGACCCCCCACCTCGTTCCCTCCTCCTTCATGTCTGCCCCCAGTCCCTCCTCTCCCCTGAGTTCATCACTGGGACACCTCTGTCTACTTCACAGTGGTAGTTCATCCAGGCTGGCTGCCACACATGCCATCTTCATCGCAACCCCTCCAAGCTGGCCCTCCTTCTGGCGGCTCTGACCACCCCGCTGGGCCTGAGAAACCCTAACATGCTGACACCCTGACATCCAAACACGACCACTTGGCACTCGGAGGCTACCACCCTGGCCAGGGCCCTGACCTGTCACCAGCGATGCCCCACGGCCTCCTCATTGCCACGTCCTTCTAAGTATGGACCCCCCCATGCACACAGACACAGGCACACAGACATGCACAGACACACACAGACACACATGTTCACAGAGACACATGCAGACACCCAGAGACACATGTACACACGTGTGCACACACGCACGCAGCAGCCTTGCTCGGGGCGCCCGGTAGGAGCAGCACGTCCCCAAGGCCTGGTGTCCCCTCCCTCTGGGCACCCCCGCTGTAATCGCCATCCTCTCTCTTTGCTTGGTTTACCGAGCATTCATTCGTGCTCAGGCCCTCACCCTGTGCTTGGATCCCCTCTCAGTTTCAAGCGTGGCGGATACCTGTCAGTTTGTCTTTCCCGGAGCCATGCCCTGCCTGGAGGCCTCTGTCCCACTTCAAGTGGATGTCCCTTCATCCGCAGATGGAGACCTGCCCCTCCCGGTTGGACACCCAGTTTCTATGGTCCCACGTCTTCCTTTTTCCTGGTTCACCCCCTTGGGCTCCCTGAGAGAGGCCGGAACGGGCACCTCAGCCTGTCCAGTCCCCCAGAGACACTCAGGGTGGAATTAAACCCAGGGAGCTGCTTAGAAAACTCCCCCACACGCTCCTATCTTAGAACTCAGGACACAGGAGATGGTGTCCACTGGGATAGGCAGCAAGCCATCCATGGACGTCAAGCCCAGCAACGCGGCCATAAGCGACCGGGCCATCAGTTACACCGGGAAGGGAACAGGTTAGCGGCCACAGCCCCAGCTCCCGCTCGGCCCCGCCAGCTCAGACGCAGGCGCCGCAGTGCGCCGGGCCCCACGGACCAACACGTCGAGCTGGACGGGTGGCGGCCCCATGAGGCCCGATGTGACCGCGGGGGAAGGAACCTAGTAGTTTTCTGGCTGGCCATCTTGTTCTTGAATCTAGGCTGCACCTCTACAGCAGAGGCCAAAAGCCTCGTTTTCTGTCCCCGTCCAGAGGCACGGACCCGAGCGTCCACAGCTGTGCCCTCCTGTGACCACACCGCCCCCCTCAAGAGACTGCACTCCACCCTCTCAGACAGCAGCACGTCCTCCTCCAGCAGCCGGTCCTCCTCTGCCCGGGGGCCGCTGCCCCCCGCCCGCGCCCACAAGTCCCGCCCGCTATCCCTGTCCGTGCGGCGGCGTGCACACCTGCATGGAGCAGGGTGAGCTGAAGCAGGAGGCGGGGCCGACCTTCCCTGCGTGAGTGAGTGCATGAGTGCGAGAGTGCGTGAGTGCGTGTGTGCGTGAGAGTGCATGAGTGCCTGGGGCCGGCGTACGTGCTCATCGTTTCCCCGATTTCGTACGCTGCCAAAGGTTTCCAGATTAGAAATTTTCATTTACTTAAAAAAAAAAATTCCATTTCCACTCAAGACAAGGGAACAGGGAACAAGTTTAAAACAAGCAAAAAGAGAAACCAGACAAAGCAAACCAAGTGCCCTCCAAAGCCCAAAATGCACCACTGCCACCGTGAAGTCACCCCTGAGGGCGTCCCGACCACCGCAGAGGTGCCTCTGCGCGAAGCGCTGGGCGGGAGCTGCTCAGAACAGGCAGCGGCCACGGGGAGCACGCACCATCGCCCGCCCAGAGCGGCCGCGCTCTCCTGGACACGTCCCTCAGGCTCCAGGACCGCGGGTGGCCCCCATCTGGGCTGCGGCAGCCTCTGGTCAGACCAGGATCTGGAGGCGGGACTTCTCCCGGCAGGAAGACCAGCCGGAAGGGTGTCGGAGGGCTCAGGTCTGCCATCCCCAGCACGGCCCGCAGAAGCCACCCGCCAGCCACACTCGAGGTTGTGGCTGCACCCTGGCAGGGGCCCCACCCTGGGGAGTGACCCCACGGGCCTGGGCTCTGCGGCCGCGACTCTGTCTGGGGTGGCACAGGACACGCCCCTGGGAGCGCGCCTCCCGTCCCGTCCTGTCCCGCTTTCTGTCAAAGCCGCGTGGCCCTTCTTGCCGCGTTTTGTGTTGTCCCCTGCTTGGGCTCACTCTTACCGCCCAGGGTGAGGCTTCCTGCTGGGGGAGGGGTCGACCTCCCTCCCGGTCTTCCCCTTCCGGCTGCACTGGGCCTCCTGATTTCAGAAAAGCGAAGTCACAGACCTCTTGTTCATGAGCATAAGTGGTGTCTGACCTCCGGCAGTGCCGTCCTCCTGCTTTAGCCTGGCATCACGGGTCATCTGGTTATAAATCTGTACCTTGTAAATCATTCTCGTTGTGCAAGCCTCAGGGCCAGAGTGCCGGGCACAGTAGGCCTGAGGGGCAGCCGGCCAGGCCGGAGGACGGTCCTCACTGGGCTTCTCTCTGCAGAGACCGGGAATTCCGAATCTTCCCACCGCCCGTCAAGGGACAGCGGCCCCAGCCTCGCAGGCCGTCCCTGCCGCTTGCGGAGCTGTCGTCTGACGAGGACTGTCAGGGTGTCTCGGGAGGGCTCACGGCAGCAACCTGACGGGGACCAGTTCATCACGGCCGTGAGTACCCCTCCTCTAGGCCCCCACGAGAGAGGCCCAGGTGCTGGGTGCGGGGGTCAGTAGCCGCCCAAGAGATGCTGGGCCGCCGGTGACCACACAGAGCCCCCCTCGTGGGCCATCCTGTGTGTGAATCAACCCCACACGCACACTCCGGCACCCAGCGGGCTGCCTGTGATCCAGAGGCCTGGCTCCGTCTCCAGCGACTCTGAGTCACTTAGAGAGGTTTGCAGGCCTCCTGAAGCATCAGCCGCACTCTGCCTGCCATGCGGAGGCTGCACCTGTGCCATCTGGCATGTGCTGGTTCCAGGCTCGTCCGAGCCCCGACTCCAGGCGGGCCTTGTTAGAGCCCCTGCAGTCCTGGGTGAAGGAGGGCTACTGGTTGGCCAAGGAGGTTTCTGAACCCAGCCCCAGATGGACCAGGCTCAGGGGCTCTGCCCTCCCTGGGACGCTTGCTCGGCCCCCAGTCCCGCATTCTGATGGGATCGCGTCCTGGGCAAGACGCAGTATTTCCCTGCATTGATGCAGACGTGTGTTTCTACCTTCAGGGGTGTCAGGAGAGCCATGACACCTAACCCCGCAAGTAGGGAGCACAGGAGACCCCAGAAACCCTGGACGCACACACAGAGACATCATCCCCTGAAAAGGAGAGACTGAGGGGACCAATCCCACAGGAAGCCACTCGTCACCAGCCGGGCCTGCCGGTTCAGTGCCTTCACCCACACGGGGTCGTAAAGCTCTCCTCTCTGCAGGCACGTCCCAGGTTCTGGGGCGATGCCTCCAGCCCCCTCCTGGGCAGCACCAGAAGGGGAGGTCCGATTTTAAGTGTGTGCTGAGCCAGAGTCCAGGGACCAGTCCTTGGTGCTCACACCTTGGGTCACTCACAGTGACCTGATCCCTTTGCCAGGACAAAACCCCTCACGTCTCGGGCGTCTGGACGGTGGTTTGACTGGAAGGCCACAAGCTCCACCGTGATCCCTGAGGCGCTGGGCACACTGCCACCACCCAGGCTGCCCGACCGCGTCTCCACCTTGTCCCGATGCTTCCAGAGCGCGGATGCACCACGGATGTTAACGGCACGCCGGGAGGGGGCGGCGGGCCAGGCCTGGCTGCTCCCCCATCCCCCCGACTCCCCCCCAAGAGGAGGCTCCCGCCCTGCTCGCCAGACGGCGCAGCTGGCACTGTCACCCCTCCCCACGCCCGACTCAGCGGGGGAGTCCCCTGCGTGCGCCACAGCCCGCACGCGCCCCACACACCCCGCGCGCCGTGCGCGGCACCGCCCTGGGTGGGAGCCGCGGGACACACGCCGTCTCTAGGAAGAGGCCCTGCAGGGTCCTCATCTGTGAGGCCACTTCCTCCGCGGAGGTCTCAGAGCCTGGGCGTCTTGGGGGGCTGTGAAGGGCGCCAGGAGACCGTCCCAGGCAGGGGCCCGCCTGTCCCACAGCCCCTCCCTCCGCTCCCGCGCTGGGCTGCACTGAGGGCCTGCAGCTGCGAACGTGCGCCCAGATCTGATTGAAGGTCTGCCGGTAAAGGTGGATTCCTTGTGCCTGTCAAGTAGACCGTTTCCTATAAACCACATGCGAAGTTGTCCAAGTGCTCCCGTTCACACCGTCGCTGCTTGCGGGACACGTGGGGAGACATGCACACTCACACTCACGTGCTGGGTCAGAACGGCGAACACAGAACTGGCACATTGCAGGGCCCGAACCTCTTTCCCCTGGGACTCGGACGCCCAGGGCTGCCGGCTGAGGCTGCAGCCTGCACACTGCTCACTCACTCGCCCAGACCTGTGGGTGTCAGCCTTAGAGGACGCACTCGTTTCTGGGGCCCTATCCCTGGCCTTGCTGGGCCCCAACTGCTTCTTCAGAAGATGCACGTCCCGAGCCCGAGAGCACCCTGGGGGAGGAGGGGACCCGAGTAAGAGAGGTCCTTCTTTGGGCAGCTGTGACGCATCTGGGTGAGATGTGGCCCCGCAGGGAGAACCCCCCGCAGAGCAGAGGAACCTCGACCCTGACGTGTGCACGGCAGGTCACGAGGTCTGGGAAGGAGACACTCAAGCCACGGCTCCTGACCACGTCCTCTGCCAGGCACGGGGCCACCAGTCAGCACACCCCTCGGGGCCTGGGCATCACGTCATAGGCCCCCCGCTGTCCTGCCTACAAAGACGCCCCGTGATGCCCTGGACGCTCCCACACTCCTAGGCTGCAAGAGGCCCGGGTAGGATCACGTGGACCCCCGAGCAGAGTCCCACGATGGACGTGGGGTGTCTCAGAGCAGGGGGCCCTCTGGGAGCGTGTTCCCCCGCCTTCCAGGCAATGCAGGCCATGGACGGCAGTCCCCAGGTGCAGCCCCCACGGGGTGCGTCCCGGACACAGGGGGAGCTTTCCTGAGTTTAGCTGGAATCTCGGTTTCGTTTTCTTTTCAACAAGCTGTGTGTGGCCAGCGGCACTCGAGTTGGGCTCCACCTGTGAGTCTGGGACAAGGGTCCCTGCGTCCCAGGTGGACCCCAGGTGGAGTTGGGGGCACAGCAGCTGGGCCGGAAGCTCTGATCCAGCCTGTGCTGGGAGGTCCTGTCGTGTGGATGGGGCCCTGAGAGGGCCCCCCCCCTCACCCAAGGGTGGAGAGCCTGGGTAGATGCAGGACTCAGCGCACTTCCTGCCACAGGTGCTCCCCCCAGACCCCATCCTGGGGCAGCGGCGACATCAGCTACCATCCACCCAGAACAGGAGCAGGTGGCTGGGGCACGGCCCTCGCCTTTGTGATCTGCCGGCTGCTGTAAACTCTCTTCCTTGTTACCCTGTTTCAGGGCTGACTGTTCCAAACTTTAGGAACATAAATAAATGGGACATTTTTTTCTACCACATGGTCGTGCTTCTTCTACGGGGTTCTGTTGTGTCAGGGACATCACCAACAAGCCTCCCCTAGGGAGCGCAGCCCCTGCAACTTTGAGGGGGCAGGGCGTGGGCAGCAGAGCGCCCTCTGGGGTCTGCCTGGTGCACGTCCTTGCCTCCCATCGGGGGTGAGGGCAGGGGGGGTTCCCACCGTCTCCGCTCACACCTGGCCTGCCTGGCAACGCTGGGGCCCCTGGAGCACGATGCCGCCCCCTCCCTAGGGGAGGCACTGCTGAGGCTCTGAGGGAACGGCAAGCCGGACTGTGTCTGACGGAGGGTCCCACCTGAGTGTAGGGTTGGGGGGTCTGGGGGGTCCGGCCCGTGTGGGTCCCCATGAGCGGCACCTGCACCCCCTGCACCCACGTCCATATCCACAGCCCTACACACAGCCCAGCATGTCCCCTGGCCCCTGACTCTTTCTCCCTCCTAGTGCCTCTGTCTGCCTCTCCCCTCCTCCCTCTCTTGATCTCTGTCTTTGTGGGTCTCTGTCTCTCTGTCTTTCCCTATCTTACTGTCTCGGTCTCTCTCTCTGTCCCACTGAGGTCCCTCCCAGAGCAGCGCTTGTCCGGGTAGCCTGTCAGGCTAAGTGCTCCAGCCCTGCCTCCAATGATGGTGATATGGGGGTGGGGCGGAGGTCAAGTCATTCAGAGATGATCGAATACCCGTCAGAGCTGGAGCTGGAGGGAGGAAGAATTGTTCTCTGTCCATCTTGGGTTCTCTTCTGGGGCTCTGTAACAAAGAACAGACTCATGAGAGAAAAGCACGCAGATTTACTGAATATAAGTTTTTGATGACATGGGAGCCGTCATAAGGAAACGAAGACCCCAGTGGCCTAAGTGTTTCTGGACTAAGTTGAGCGAGGAGGTGATTGATTGATTGTGGAAAAGTAACTACAACACACAGGACAGTAACTTTGACAGTGAACTATCCTGACGCCCTCTCCGGTGATGAGAATGTCTCCCCTCCCGGTTCAGGGAGGGTGGCTTGCCCGGAATTCCATCTCCGTTCAGGAAGAAACGGGGTGCGGGGGGGCCAAGCGCCCTTAGCTCAAAATACTCCTTCAGCCAAAGCGGCGTGGTCTGGGGCACATGCTCTGCCACCCTCCAGAGCGAGGAACCAGACACCAGGCCATGCGAGCGAGCTTCCGGCTCCTGGGGGCCCCGCACGTCATCTGCAGCCCCGCCCACTGCGTGGGTCCTGGGGCTCAGCCCAGGGAGGCCTGCAGCTGGAGGGCGCCAAGCTCCCTCCCATGGACGGTGGGGAAGCCTCGGCCGCGGTCCTCAGTGACGATAAAGGAAGGGGGGTGCCAAGCAGTGTGCGGGCGCCTCATGGGGCCTTTATTTAGCTTCTCTTGAAGTCAGGAAACAGTTATCAGAGGTGCCACCCCATGCCCACTGCCGCGTCCCTAACTCTGGACGTGGGGCAAAGGGAGTCCAAGAAAAGGTTTGTTAGTTCCCGGCCTGTGGGATGGCCCAGGGTTGGGGCAGACCCACGCCATGGAGGGGTGAGGTACCTCCCGGACAGGCCACCCCTGCAGTGGACACGGCGGTAATTCCAGGGGCCCAGCCCCCTCCCCCTAGCCAAGCACTCAGGCACCTCTGCTTTCCTCAGCTGAGCGCCAGCAGGACAAGCCGGCCACCACCAGACGCCTCCACAGCCAAAGCCATACAGGCACCCAGGACGAAAATAGCCGTCAGATGACCAGAGGGCTGGCTCACCGCAGTCCAAGGCAAGCTGCTCACAGCAGCTGCAACTAAAAATAGGTGAGAAGGGGACGCGTCTTCGGGAGAAGCACAGGGGAGAGCGCTGTCCTGGCTCCAGCCACTGCAGGTGGGCATGATGCAGTCACTACGCTTCATTTCTGCTGAGGCCTTGGCGTCCCACCCCCAGGCGGCCCGGCAGAGCCTGGACGGGGTGGCCCACAACCTCTACCCGCTGCTCTTCAAAGCCAGCTACTTGCTGGAGCAGGCGGAGGTGATCCGCGTTCTGCTGGAGCGCTGGCCGCTAGAGGAGTTCCGGCTGGGTGCTCTGCTGGGCCCCAGCGCAGACCACCCCCGGGACCTGCGGGACCGGGCCTGCAGGGCCTGCCTGGAGGCCTGCGTGCGCGGCCTCGCGGACCACACGCTCTGGGGCGGGGGCCGGCGGCGTCTGCGGGTGGCCGACCTCACGGGCATCCGAGACGTGCAGGTGCAGGGCTGTCCCTGTGGGAGGGCGCTGGGCAGGTGGGGCCGCACCAAGCTGCTGGCCAGGACCTGCTGTGAGCTGCAGGCGGAGCCCCGTGCGGCCCGGCGCCCCGTAGAGGTCCTCGCCGATATCTTCGTCACCGGGGGTAACTTCGACTTGGTGGTGCGGGCCCTGGGGCCAGATGGTCCTGCCCCACTGCGCGTGCGCTGCCTCTCCTTCCGGGCCGACAGCCTGGGCCCCGGGCAGCTGCTGCACGTGCTGCGTCTGGCGGGGCCGGGCGAGCTGCGCCGGCTGGAGGTGGTGCACAACGTGCGTCTGCACGCCGGCCACGTGCAGCAGCTGCTGGCCCAGCTGGGCTTCCCCCGGCTGGTGTCGCTCACCCTGCCCGCCAAGGCCTTCGACGCGCCGCCTACCAGCACCCCCGCCCCTGACGGCGAGGACGCCCTGCTCACCTCCATCGCCCGGGAGCTCAGCCGGATGACGCAGCTCACCGAGTTGAGCGTGGCCTTCTCCACGCTGACCGGGAAGCTCCAGAAACTGCTCGGGTGAGTCTAGGGTGAGCAGAAGGAGGGCGGCGGGGGGAGGGCATCTGCTCACAGCCCCTCAGCCCAGGTCAGGGCGACTCGGGGCCTGGGCTGAGGACGCACTAGGGGACCGTAAAACAGACCTGGTTACTCACAAGGCCACGAGCCCCCGTCCCCTCGGTTTTTGCCCAGCCCAGAGCAGCCGGAGGGGACAGACAGAGGGGGAGGTGGCCCAGCTGGGGCTGGTGTCGGGTGCAACCCGGGAGCACCAGAACCCAAAGGAGACCGCCTCCAGTTCGTAAGAAAAAGAGAAGAGTCCTCATTAGCAAGCAAACAACATTGAAGTAACTCCATTACCTTGTATTAATTACCTGTCATTGTAACAAATGACCCCAGTGCTGGGGCTTACGAGGGCAAGACAGGAGCCGGGTGGGGGCAGCTGTGGTCTCCCCTGAAGGCTTGTCGGGGCGGGAAAGCGGAACCACCCACTTGCACGCTCATTCTCATGGCTGTCGGCAGGCGGCCTCGGCTGCCCGGCCTGTGGGCCCCCCAACAGGCTGCGGATCAGAGGGCCAGAGGCCCTCCGGAGGGAGGCCCGCCTCCCGTGACCTTCCCTGGAGAGCACCGTGCTGATGCTTCGGCACACTGCGTGGTGAGGGCCCGTCACTGGGCCACGGGAGGCACCACCGAGGGTCCCAATACCCAAGGGCCGTTGGGCCACCTTGGCGGCCACCAGCTGTGAATATACTCATGAAAATTTATGGAAAATCAAACTTCTCATTTCTTGAGAAATTTGATGAGAATCAAATTTCTCATTTCTTCTCATTTCTCATTGTGTGGGTGTAAGGATGTCTTTTCTGGCTTAGGGAGTCCGTGGCTTACAGGAATTTCTCTTCTATACAAAGGAAACCCAGAAGTAGCTGGCCGCAGCTGGCCAGGGCCCACACTGCCTCTCCTCCCCTGGGGGGCACCTGGGATCCCGTCGCCATCCCCCATCCCTGCTCCTCCCCGCCTGGAACCCAGTCGCCCAATTGGGGAAGGGGTGGTCCTCGAGCCCACACACAAATACGACTCTGCCATGTGGCGGCTCCCTGGGACCCTCAGGACAGTACTGCGTTTGGCTGGCCTGGGCCCTCAGCCAGAGGTGCCTGTGCTCTGGGGAAACGTGTTCCACAAGCCAGACGACACGTCACAAGCCTGCAGGGCTATCTTGTTAGCTCGGCCCTGACATCGCCTGTCACACTCTGACCTGTTCTACACGCTCGGTCTTCAGTCAGCTGGTTGCTGAGAGCCTGTCCAAGGCCCCAGAAGGTCCAGGCGTGGAGTGTGTCAGGCCTAAGTGGGAGGGAGATGGGTGAGTGGTCAGGGAAGGCTAGGTCCCAAGGTGACCTTTGAGCGGAGACCAGGCACAGTGAGCCAGCGGAGGGCCCAGAGAGCATGTGCTAGGCAGGAACCCCGCAGGTGAAGGGCAGGAGCTGGGGGTGTGGCAGGGCCGTAGGCAGGGGTGGGGCGGGGCGGGGCTGCCCGGAGCTGGGGGTGGCAGGGCTGTAGGCAGGGGTGGGGCGGGGCGGGGCTGCCCAGAGCTGGGGGTGTGGCAGGGCCGTAGGCAGGGATGGGGCGGGGCTGGGGCAGCGGGGACGGGGGCTGTGGTCCTGGGCAGGTGAAGAAGGGAGCAGGGAGCAGAGGAGAAGGACGGAAGAGCCAGGCCTCTGAGCAGGGCAGTGGGTGATCAGCTTCATATTACAGAGCTCACTCTGGCTTCCCTGGCCCACACAGCAGACCCAGCTGGAGAGGCAGGGAGAGTGGCAGACAGAGCAGACACGCCGAGACCACCCAGGTTTGCTGACTCCCTGGGAGGACTCACTGCTAAGATTTATTACAGCAGACGGACGGGGCAGAATCTGCCAAGGGAAAGGGCTTGTGGGGAGGGGTTCGGGGAGACGGCGCACAGAGTCCAGGGTCCTGTCGCAGTGGAGCCAGCACGGACTGTAATGGCACGTGGGAGGTGCCGTCCACGGGGGAGTCATGAGAGACCCAGGCCAGGGGTTTTCCTGGGGGCTGGTTGGGTGGGCGCCTCAGCCTGGCATGTGCCGAGATTCCAGACCCCAGAGGAGGCAGGTGTCAGCAGGGACCACGTTGCTTGTGCAGACAGCTCAGGCCAGGGACCCCTTATCAGCTGAGTGAGGGACCCTCCCCAAATCCAAGCTCCCAGACGCGGTTCGCAGTCAGGCCTGTCCTCTGACCCTTGTCCACACAGGAAGCCCCCCAAGGGGTTGCGAGCAGTGCAGGTGGGGAGAGGGTCCCTCATGGATGGATGTGGGCGTGAGAGATGGAGGTGGAAACACGCCCCACAGCTCAGGACCTGAGCCACAGCCTCCGCAGAGCCGGGCAAGGAGACACAGAGCCCGCTGCGGCGTGGACTGTGGAGGCGGCGGGTGGGCCCGCGACCCTCAGCGCCCAGAGTACAGGTGCAGGAGGTGGTGGGAGCGGCAGCCTCAGCAGGCGAATAGAGAGCGGACCCCCCGGCCCCAGCACTCAGTGCCCAGCCAGGTGACCCCAGACGCAGGCCCAGGATCCCGGAGGGCCACTACGGGTCTGTTCCCGACTCTGAGAACTTCTGGGCAGGGAGCCACCGACTGTGCGTTTCCGCGTGGCCGCCCCCTACACACCTACAGGAGAGCACGGAGGGTCTCTGAGGTCCCAGGCAGTGCTGCGGGTGGACTGGGCGCTCCAAGGGCCCTCCCGGCCCTGATCCTGTGGGCTCAGGCTCTTCTTGCAGAGCCAAGCCAGTGTTTCATTTCCTGCCAGTCCACAGGCAACTCACTGCCCCCTCAGCAAGCTTGGGAACACACAACGCCTTGCTGACAAAACAGATCGATCACTTAAATTGCTGAGGACAAAGGCCAGGCCTGTCTTTGGGTGAAGTTAAGTCTTTACAGCAGCCAGTGGCTACGCATGGTCTCACACTGACCCAGCTCTGCCGTTGCCCCAGGGCAGCCACAAACGGGAAGTAAATGAAGGTCGTGGCTGTTCTGATTACGCGTTACTTACCCGCACTGAAACCTGAATTTCATATAATTCTCACGTATCACAAAATATTCTTCTTCTTTTGACTTGTTCGACTACTTAAAAAGGTAAAACCCATTTCAGCTCTCGGGCTGAATGCAATCAAGGGAGGGTGTGTGTGGCCCCCAGAGCGCCTGCCGGGCCTGCTCTCACCGCGCTGTTTCCTGCCCTGCCCGCAGCCCCCTCCGGACTCCGCTGAGAGTGCTGGACCTGGGCAACTGCGCCCTGAACCACGCGGACATGGCCTTCTTGGCGGACTGCACCCACGCCGCCCACCTGGAGGTGCTGGACCTCAGCGGGCACTGCCTGGTGGACCTGTTCCCCTCGACCTTCTTCCGGCTGCTGGGCCAGGCCGCCCCGACGCTGAGGGCCCTGACCCTGGAGGAGTGCGGCCTCGCGGACCGGCACGTGGGCGCGCTGAGCCTGGCCCTGGGCCCCTGCCGCCGGCTGCAGGAGCTCCGCTTCCTGGGGAACCCAATGTCGGCCCGCGCGCTCCGGCGCCTTTTCGTGGCGCTCTGTGGGCTCCCCCGGCTGCAGAGCGTGGAGTTCCCGGTGCCCAGGGACTGCTACCCCGAGGGCAGCGCCTACCCACAGGACGAGCTGGCCATGTCCAAATTCGACCAGCAGAAATACAGCGCGATCGCAGATGACCTGCGCGCGCTGCTGCTGCGGGCCGGCCGCGACGACATCCGGGTCTCCACGCCCCTCTTCGGAAGCTTCGACCCGGACATTCAAGAAACGAGCAATGAACTCGGAACGCTCTTGCTGCAAGCCTTCAAAACTGCTCTGGAAAACTTCTCCAGAGCGCTGAAGCAAATGGAGTAGGCCCTGGACTGTACGAGGCGGGTCCCGGCGGCGGCGCTGGGACGGAGCCTCCGCCCCCGCCACCACCGACGCATCTCCTAGTGGCAGCTGCACGCGCATCCCTCAGGCGCTCCGGGAGCGACGGCCCTGCCTCCCAGGAGCTGTGACGGAGCACAGCGCCCAGCATGGCGGTGGCGCCAGAGAAGCAGCCCGCGGCGAGCAGCCGTCCTGGTCCAGGCGCCTCGGCAGCCGCGTGAAGTGCGGGCCGCAGGGGGCGGGGCGGGGGGCGGGGCGGCTGGACGACCGGCCGGCGTGAGCGGGGGAGGAAGTGAGAGGACACCTCCCGGGGCACAGCGATGAAAGCGAGCAGCTGAGGAGAGAGTAAAACCGAGGGCAAGCCGCATCCCTTTGCCGCAGCGGCTGGGTCCGGGGGGGCAGGCAGCCGGCCCGGCGCCCTCCCGTCGCGGGTGTGCGGCGCTGCCCTGTCTGGATGTTTACAAACTCCCGTCCAGCGAGGACATGGGCTTTGGTAGTTGACGGCTCTGCCCCTGCCCTCGGGCCACTGGGCGGCAGGCGTGCGCTCTGCCGGTGCCAGGCTGAGCCCCGGGCTCCGGCGGCCTCTGGCTCTGAGGGCACGACCGCGGTGCCCCGCCCGCCGCCGCCCCCACTCCCACCTCCACCGACTCTAGGCCCGGCGGGCGGGGGCTGCTGCTGCGGGGAGGGCGGGAAGGCTCCTCCGGGAAGCTGAGTCCTGGTGCTTGAGGAGTGGTTAATGCCAACGTCTGGACTTGGTTTCTGCTGAGATCTGATTTGTGCAGTGCTGAGTATTAGGGTAATTAAATACGAATAAAGTGTGGCTTATTCAGATGTGGTTTTGTTTTTCAATCTAATGGACGAAAAAAATGTCTTGCATTAATTTGTGTTTCCCAGATGTTCATGAAACTGGGCATGTCTTTTTCTTTTTTTTATATATAAATTTATTTATTTATGTGGCTGCGTTGGGTCTTCGTCGCTGCGCGCGGGCTTTCACTAGTTGCGGCGAGTGGGGGCTACTGTTCATTGCGGTGCGCGGGCTTCTCATCGCGGTGGCTTCTTGCGGAGCACGGGCTCTAGGCGCGCGGGCTTCAGTAGTTGCAGGACGTGGGCTCAGTAGTTGTGGCGCACAGGCTATAGAGCACAGGCTCAGTAGTTGCGGTGCACGGGCTTAGTGGCTCCGTGGCATGTGGGATCTTCCAGGACCAGGGCTCGAACCTGTGTCCCCTGCATTGGCAGGCGGATTCTTAACCACTGCACCACCAGGGAAGTCCCTGGGCATGTCTTCATATGCTTGTTGCCCACTTGTATTATTTTTTTAAATAATTTCATTTATTTACAAAAACAAAAGCAGTTCACCCACTTCTCCCTTCCCCCCACAGACAGTCCCCCCCCACCTCACCTCTGGTTCTCATCTGTTCTCTGCATCTATTAACTTGGAGATATATATTCCACATATGAGTGAGATCATATGGTATTTGTATTTCTCTGACTTATTTCATTTAGCATAATGCTCTCCAGGTCCATCCATGTTGTCACAAATGGCAGACTTTCATTCCTTTTATGGCTGAATAGCATTCCATTGTATACATATACCACATCTTCTTTATCCATTCATCTATTGATGGGCACTTGGGTTGCCCCTATCTTGGCTATTGTAAATAGTGCTGCAATAAACATGGGAGGGCAGATATCTTTTTGAATTAGTGTTCTCATTTTCTTCAGATAAACACCCAGAAGTAGAATTGCTGAACCCTATGGTAGTTCTAATTTTGATTTTTGAGGAACCTCCATACTGATTTCCACAGTGGCTGCACCAATTTACATTCCCACCAACAGCGTACAAAGTTTCCCTTTTCTTCACTTCCTTGCCAACACTTATCTCTTGTCTTTTTGATAATAGCCATGCTGACAGGTGTGAAGTGATATCTCATTGTGGATTTGATTTGCATTTCTCTGACGATTAATGATGTTGAGCATCTTTTCATGTCTCTTCAGAGATTCTGCCCACTTCCTAATTGAATTTTTTATTTTTTTGCAGTTGAGTTGTATGAGTTCTTTATATATTTTGGATACTAGCCCCTTATCAGATATATGATTTGCAATTTTTCTCTCATTCTGTAGTTTGCCTTTTTTTTGTTTTATGACTTTGTTTGCCATGCAGAATCTTTTCAGTTTGATGTAGTCCCACTTGTTTATTTTTGCTTTTGTTGCTTTTGCTTTTGGTGTCAGATTTTTAAAAAATCATTGCCAAGACTGATGTCAGGGAGTTTACCACCTATGTTTTCTTCTAGGTCTTAACGTTCAAGTCTTTAATCCATTTTAATTTTTTTTTTTTTTTTTTTTTTGCGGTACACGGCCCTCTCACTGTTGTGGCCTCTCCTGTTGTGGAGCACAGGCTCCAGACGCGCAGGCTCAGCGGCCATGGCTCACGGGCCCAGCCACTCCACGGCATGTGGGATCTTCCTGGACCGGGGCACGAACTTGTGTCCCCTGCATCGGCAGGCGGACTCTCAACCACTGCGCCACCATTTTTGAGTTAACTTTTTATGTGTGTTATAAGATAGTGGCCCGGTTTCATCCTTTTGCACGTGGCTGTCCAGTTTTTCTAGTACCATTTATAGACGAGAGGGTCCTTTCCCCATGGTATATTCTTGGCTCCTTTGCCGTAAATTAATTGACCATCTATGCATGGATTTATTTCTGGGTTCTCTATTCTGTTCCATTGATCTATGTGTCTGTTTTTATGCCAGTACCATAATGTTTTAATGACTACTGCTTTGTAATATAGTTTGAAATCAGGGAATGTGATGCCTCCAGCTTTGTTCTTTTTTGTTTGTTTTGTTTTTGTTTTTGCGGTACGTGGGCCTCTCACTGCCGTGGCCTCTCCCATTGTGGAGCACAGGCTCCAGACGCACAGGCTCAGCGGCCATGGTGCACGGGCCCAGCCGCTCCACGGCATGTGGGATCTTCCCGGACCGGGGCACGAACCCGCGTCCCCTGCATCGGCAGGCAGACTCCCAACTACTGTGCCACCAGGGAAGCCCTCCAGCTTTGTTCTTCTTTCTCAAGATTGCTTTGGCCATTCAGGGTCTTTTATGGTTCCATACAAATTTTAGGATTTTTTTGTTCTATTTTTGTGAAATATGCCATTAGAATTTTGATAGGGATTGCATTGACTCTGTATATTGCTTTGGGTAGGATGGACATTTTCACAATATTAATTCTCACAATCCATGAGCACAGAATGACTTTCCACTTATTTGTGTCTTCTTCAGTTTGTTTCATTAATGTCTTGTACTTTTCAACATACAGGTCTTTCATCTCCTTGGTTAAATTTATTCAGAATTTTTGATGCAGTTGTAAATGGGATTGTTTTCTTAATTTCTCTTTCTGATATTTCATTACTAGTGTATAGAAATGCAACAGATTTTTGTGTATTCATTTTGTATCCTGCAAATTTACTAAATTTATTAGTTATAACAGTTTTTTGATGGAGTCCTTAGAGTTTTCTGTATATAGTATTGTCATCTGCGAATAGTGACAGTTTTACTTCTTCCTTTCCAATTTGGATTCCTTTTATTTCTTTTTCTTTTCTGATTGCTGTGGCTAGGAATTCCAATGCTGTTGAATAAAAGTGGTGAGAGTGGGCATCCTTGTCTTATTCCTGATCTTAAGAGGGGATGCTTTCCACTTTTCACCGTTGAGTGTGATGTTAGCTCGGGGATTGTCACATATGGCCTTTATTATGTTGAGGTACGTTCCCTCTATAGCCACTTTGTCGTGAGTTTTTATTATAAATGGGTGTTGAATTTTGCCAAATGACTTTTCTGCATTCCTTGAAGCGATCGTGAGATTTTCAGGTTCTTCAGTTTGTTAATGTGGCGTGTCACGTCGACTGATTTGTGGCGTTGAGCCATCCTTGCATCCCTGGGATAAATCTCACTTGCTCATGATATATGATGCTCTTAATGTATTGTTGAATTTGGTTTGCTAGTATTTTGTTGAGGATTTCTGCATCTGTGTTCATCAGGGATATTGGCCTGTAATTGTCTTTTCTTTTGGCATCTTTATCTGGTTTTGGTATCAGGGTAATGCTGACCTCGTAAAATGAGTTTGGAAAACTCCCTCTTCTCTCTTTTGGAAGTTTGAGAAGGATTGGTATTAATTCTTCTTTGAATGTTTGGTAGAATTCACCAGTGATGCCATCTGGTCCTGGACTTTTGTTTGTTGGAAGGTTTTTGATTACTCAAATGACATTTTAATGCAATTCAGAATTTTAAAAAGGATGTAAGTGTCTGAAAAGAAAACATTTTCTCAAGAGAGTGGCTACTGCTTGATGTGGCCAAATGCTCCTCACACTAGAACCACCCAAGTGGTCATTGGGGGTTTGCATCACCCTGTGAGTGGGCTTTGCCCTCAGGTCCAACGCCATGCTGCCATCTCTGCAGGTACGTCCCCGTTGCAGGTGCTCCTGTGCCAGCCCCTCCCCCAGGTATGGCCCATGCCTTTCCCCCCACAATGGAGCGAGAGTCCTCTCAGGATCTGCCTTCTGAGGAAGGCAGTAACCTTCCTACTGGGCCTTCAGGAGAGGAGAGACACCAGCAGGTGGGCAGGAGCAAGGAGGGACGTGGTAGCTTCTAACTCCCTGTGCTCTTGGGCTCTGCCTCCTTTGCTCACCTCTGCATATCTCCTTAGCTGTGTTATGCTGGAACCCTGTTTCAGCCACATGGACTTTGCTATTGCAAGAAGCTCTTGGAAAGAGAGTAGGCACAGGGCAAAATTTGGAAATGGTTTGATTTTAACTCTAAAGAGTAGAGTAGCTTCTGCTGTTTGTGTCTGTGGAATTTTCTGGATGAGACCCAGCCTCTGGGTGGTCAGCAGGTAGGACCCAGCATGGGCATGGCTGGGCCCAGCAGCTGTGGTGGAGAAGAGCCCAGGGATGCTGCGGTGACCCAGGACCTGAAATTTGGGGCAGGGCTGGGCACACAGGTGTCTACTAGTGGAGAATGTCCCTGACAGCCCCCGCCCCACGCTGAGGAATAACCCATTCTTGTGAAGCTGGAGAGGCTGGGAGGCTCGTTGGAGCAATTCTGAGGCACACGGAGCAGCCCAAGTGGGACCACGCCTCCCACTCACCCCAGTGCATGTAATTCACTTGTTCCTGTGGACCCGCTCAGCCCCAACACTGAATGTGCCACTTGCAGCCACGATGGGTTTTACCTGTACCTGCCCAGCCCGAGACTGGTGGCCCTGAGGATGCCCAAGGTGACGTTGGCTGCGAATGCAGTCGTGGGCATCTGTCAGGGCCCAGGAGCGTTCCTGTGCTTCTCGTGCTGCAGACGGCGTGGCTCTCACGCAAAGGCAAACTGGGAAAAGGAAACACGCTCAGCAGGTGAAGAGCAGAACAGAGTGCCAAGGGCCAGAAGGGTGTGAATATGCCACACGGCAAACTCGACTGGGCTCCTCCCGGTGAGCCTGGGCGGGCTATCATCTGCACAAACCCACCTGGTCTTCCCAGGGGCCAGAAGTCGCATTGAATGGGGACATGATGGGGACCATGATGGACACTCTGGGACCACCGTCTTCGCCTCCCCTCGTCCCCTGTGGTGGACTTATCATTGCACTTCCTCCAGGAATTCAGCAGTGCTTCCTGTTGACCATCCTGGCAAGGAGGGGATGCAGATTCAGGGACTTCCACTTCTCTTTCCTACCTTAGCAACTCTTGTTCCAGACGGTTCTTTCCAGTTATATACTCAGAGACTAGGAGACACCTGCAGGCCCAGCAGACCCTCTGTGCAGTGGCCGTGTCCAGAGACCCGGAGACGTCAGCCTGCAGCTCCCTCTCTCATCAGCTGCCACCCGCTAGATCCCAGGAATCCCCTTCTCTCTCCACCAGCCGCTGGCAATCCCACGGGTGAGCGCAGATCCTCGATCTGCTGGAGGGCCTGCCGCCTCCTTCGGAGCGCCCGAGCCAGTGGCTGGCATTTGAGCCCCGCTTTCTCGGTTCTCTGCTCCCACTGCGCTCACAAGCCACGGCACAGCACAACCCAGTGGTTCCCAGGCTTTGCCACACACGGGAGTAGAACAAGGCAGCTGTTCTCACCATGGGGCCCGGGGAGAGAAAGCTGGTTTGCAGGGAGAGAAGATTAAACAGACACGCAGAGATCTGAGGCCAGAAGGTCATTACTGCAAGGTTCCCAGTGTTGGTTTCTAGCCATTTCTGGCTCTCCTCTGAGGTCCGGCCATCACTCTCCATCCTTGCCCTGAGGTTCCACAAGGTAGCCTTAAAACAAACGCCCCCTTAACTGTGTAAGTAGCAGAACTGACCCCTGTTGTTTGCTACCAAAGCCCTGACGTCTAGGGAAGCAGGACAGCTATTTTTGTCGTACGCCAGGCGGGGAAGAGCACTTTCGGCATCAGCCCAGAAAACCCGCTCAGTCACTCGAAAAGGACCTGGTTTCACATGGATCAGTGCAGTTCTGAAGCCAAGCTGCCTGGGTTCATACTAGCTCCAGGACCACCTGTGCGACCTCGGGCAGGTTGACTTCCCACCCCTCACCTGTAGAATGAGGGCTGCAGAGAAGGGCTCACACCACAGGCCTGAGACCGTGGGCCTGAGAGGCCTGCTGACAGGTCGGCCCTCGGCTGGCATCTGGGACCTGGATTTGGGAGGGTTCCCTCCACCATCAACTGGTAAGAGTGGATCACTGCGACCAAACCCTGCCAACAGCTTGGACACCCGCTTTCCTCTGGGAGTTTGGAATTTGGGCCTGTGCCAGGCAGAGGGTGCCTGTGTGACCGGCCCTCCGCAGAAACCCCGGACGCTGTTTCTGAAGAGCGTCCGCATGGCCGTGTGACCCCTGGGAGGGAACTGGAAGCTGCACCTCGTCTCCCCGCGTTACCCATGTGCCTGTCCCTTGAGTCTCAGCTGTGAGTACAACCATGTGCTGAGTCCTGAGCAAGTGTGGGGTGGCCTTGGGGACCCGGAGCCCAAGGGTAAGAACAGTGCTCAGGGCATAGCACTAGGGGTCAAGGTGACGTGAGTGATGTGCGTAAAGTGCGCAAAGGCCGAGTCATATTAACTTTATGGAAAATGGGTCTAAGTTTGCAGTAAAAATTGAGATAATCTGTTTAAAATGTAAAGAGTAAGGAATTACACACATAAAAAGTGGCACTGTTGCTTTTAAATTGAGGTGTTTTAATCATATGTCATTGCTTATAAACACACACAAGGGTATCAACTGGAAATAAGAAACACTTTTTCCCTTTGGTGGGAAAGAGCTTCAAAACACCACAAAACCTTGACGGTATCACTACCTTCCTTTCTCATCTATTAGGCAGTTCTATCCACTACCTGACAACTTCTAACTGTAATTTTAGGAGAGAGAACAATAATTTGAGGAGAAAAAAGAATTTATTTAGGGAGTGATAAAAACAGACAAAAAAACGACTTACAGTAAGGATGAGTATTGTATTTCACATTCTTAGAAACAATTTTTCCCTAAAGCTATGAGGTTATCCTGTTCCGCTGAATAAAATATTGACGGCTTAGAACACGCTTCTGAGAGACTGCGTCCTTAGCCGCTGAGGGGGACGGAGAGTCTCCTGAGGCCTCGCCGTCCTGCTCGGAGGGTGGTGGGAGTGGAAGGCCCCTGCTGAGAGGTGGCCGTGTGCATGCGTGGCCACAACACAGGGAGTGCTGGCAGAAGGAAAGCATCGGATAACCCAGAACACACAACAGTCTGACGCTGAGCCATTCACCCCCGTCTTACTTTTCCAGTATGGCTCTCTCTACGCTCTTAAACTTTTTCAGTTCGACCAGTAGTTCCCAATATCTGAGATACAGCCACATAAGCCTCCCATTTCGGCGCTTGTTGGTGTTCCAGATGTCACCACAGTACGTGTCGTGCTTGAATATGTCGGTCAGGCCAGCTGCCATCTCTAGGTCAGCAGCAACTGGGTCGGTGGACGCTCGGCCCAGCAGGCTCTTCTCGATCTCCAGCCGCTTGTGGCGAGGGAGAAGCAGACTGCAGTAGACGCTCTGTCTTTCCGTGAGAGCGTCCTCGAAGTCTCTCAGCAGAAGCCTGGCCCTCCGCTGCCACTCCTCCTCCTTGCCCAGGTAGCTCAGGTACACGCTCCGCAAGGGCTGCCCCTTCTCCTGCAGGGCCCGAGCCCGCTCCTGTTCCAGAAGCTTCTTCTCTTCTACCATCTTGCGCCCCTGAGAGATGAGGGCTTCTCGGTAGCTAGTCGTTCTGTTTTGTTCCTTTTCAAGTTCCAGGGACAATTGTGCCACGGCCCGCCGACTTTCTGAGATCGTGGCGCGGTACTTGGCTTCGAGGTCCCGCTGGAAGGCAGCTGTTCTCTGATGGTATGCTTCCCTCTCTCTTTCTATCTCTTTTCGGGACTCCCTAGACCAAATCCAACCTGACACAAAGAAAGTGGAGGAGGAAAACACACACGATGAAAAGTCAAAGCTCAAGTTCTATAATATTTATTTACAGAAAACATAAAGCAGCTAAGACGGGACTTCAATAAAATCTTAAGTCCCAAGAGGTACAAAAAAGACAACATTTTGAATGAAGCTATACAACTGCAAAGTTCTTATCTTAAAATCAGATAAGGGCTCCCCAAAGACAAGCACAACAAGGCTTCAGAGACCCCTTTCAGCCTCCTCCTAACGTCTGATGGCTGAGAAAAGCCACCGCTGCCTTCCTTTGTTCCCAAGCCTACCACCCTGTGCCTACTCTGGCTACGGTGCCCCAGCATACTATTGGCAAGAGTTAGAAATGAGTATGGGTGAGTGTGCTTCACAGAGTGTTGGCTAGGCTATTAAGAACTGAGTGAAGTTCAAAGCGTGTTCAGCTTTGCCTGGTCATCACTAGTAAACAGCTGAAGCCCAACGTGTTTGCTTCTGTTCTGATAGGGGGTCATGTAAATAAGGAGTCGGAAGTTCAGCCTTAAGACGAGGCTCCACTGTAATCTAACAAACATGGGACAGAAGGGTGCAGGCAACTGGGGTGGGTAATGCCCCGCTCTGCCCCACAAAGTGAGAAGCCACCAGGCCTCCGGCCTCTGCTGCACAGAGAAGTCCAAGGACAGAGAAAGGGAGTCTGATGACCACAAAGCCTGCGGCCAGCAGGTGCCTGGGTCTGGGTGTCGTCACCAATCCTTCCCCGTCCCGCCAGTAAGAGGCCGGTGTGTCCCGGTAACAAGATAAACGTCAGCGCGCGGCTTTCACTGCTACAGGACCTCCACCGTGTTCTGCACCGGCGTTCCTGCTCAGTAACTTCATAAACGTTGGGGCAGCTACGCCGAGTCCTCGTTTCTCACAATGGTAACCTGTCCAGCCTGTACGTGCAAAACGCAGCACAGATCTGAGTCCTCTGGAAAACAGAAGGATTGCCCAACAAGTCTAACTGGCAAAGTTACCAAGAGCAGCAACTTAAAGCATCACTTATGCCCAGCTCTCCAAACACAGCCAAGGCGGCGCACGCGTTTCTCTCCTGCCTTCTCTAACTCCCTACGGCGTCCGTCCCCCTTCCGGTTCTCTTGCTGCTCTCTGGTCCCTTCCCATCAACACCCGAGGTGCTGTCCTTGCTTGCTGTGTGGCCTTTCCCCAGGTCCCAGGGAAGCCCATCTAGTCCACAACGTCAGCCGTCACCTCGCGAGGACAGCATTCCCGCGCACCTGAGAGCCTCTTCACGTGCGGTGCTGCTGCCCCGATTCTACAACCAGGAGACCAAACTCGTCCTGCCGCAACTAAAGCAGCCCCTAGTCCTATCCCAGCTGACAACTCCTACTCCAACGCACATGCCGTCTTTGTCTCCTCCTTGGGGCTGACCAGGAAAGAAGGGGCCATAGTATGACTCAACACGCCCTGGAGGCAGGCAAAAGGTATGCATGGAGAAGAGAGGAGAGAAGGACTAATTCAGTTTTGGGTGAATGTGGACAAAGTCTGGAAGGCCAGTAGGAGTTGGCAGGAAAGGTCCCTCTAGGCAGAATGAACAGGTACAGGAGAGCTTCCAGGAGCTGCTGTCCAGGGGCACAGGGCTAATGCCAAGGAGACGCTGGAGCAGACGCTGGGAAAGCCAGACTCCGCTCAGGAAGCGGACTGACCTGATCTGACAGCGCCCTGGCTGTGATGAGAAGATGAGGGGGCATGGGCGGAGGGGGCAGACGGGAGGCCAGAAGCAGAGCGCCAGTCCTGCTATAATAACCCAAAGGCAACACTGCTCACACGATACACACCCAGGCACACACCGGCCCTCAGACCACAGAACACCTCTCATCAGGAAGGCCTCCTGGAAGAGGTGGCACAGGGACGTGGAGACAGGCTGGGCGAGGAGGTGGCCGGGGGGGTACGGAGACCAGAGTGCAGGCTGGTGGACCGGACGTCTGGACACCCAGCTCTGGTCCGTTTGGGGAGTCCCGCCTCATGACTCTGCACAGACACACCTTTTTCGAGCCTCAGTCTCACAAGGCTTGTGAAAGCGCTGGGGCTCCTGCTTTTGGGAAAATGGAAGAGAAGTACTCTCTCCTCTTCTCCCTGCTAAGAACAACGAAAAACCTGGACGTCGTATGTAAAACTAACACAAGACGACCCAGAAATGCGGAGAGCGGCAGGCAGACTGTCGAGGGGCCTTGGCACCCAAGGAACACCGTGCTGGTGAGTCCCTGGGGGCTTCACTTTGCCTTGCAGATCCCAGACTTAAAGCTGAAATGCCAATGATGCAGATTTCCTTTAAAAGCCCCAACAAAAGTCTGCTCTCTCTGGCCAAACAACTAGCAAAGGGGCTTAGCAAGACAGAAAACTTTTAAACAATAACCATTCTGCCCCTGCTACGTAGCACAGAAGACACTGTGACCCACCTCCATCCATGTGGGCAAAGCCTGAGGGGCGGTGATGGTGGCAGAGGAAGCCATGTGGGGATTCTCCCGTGTGGAAGCATCAGCAGATCGCAGGGGAGCTGGACCTCCCACTCTTGCCCAGCAGTAACAGGGGACCCTTCCTTGGTGTCAACGGGCTGGAGGACGAGTGGGGAGCCTGGATGTCCACTCCCACCTGGGAGTGAGGAGGCAGTGCTACCTCTCCCTGTCCAAGAAGCCAGCCTAGGAAGATATGAATGAAGAACAGCCTCATAATACCGCAAATGCCCAGGTTTCAGCTGGGAATCACTCTTCATAACAAGAGTCAGGAAGATCTCAAGGTGACTTAAAAGGTAATCAGTTGATGCCAATACCAAGATGACAGAGAGGTTAGTGTCGTCTGACAGTTTAAGGCAGCCATTGTAATATAAAGTGTAAGCAAAGATACAGAAAGTCTCAGCGGAGAAATAGAAAATATTTAAGAAAGCAAACGGAACTTCTGAAACTGACAAAGGCAGGAACTGAAATAAAAAACATAATGTGAAACAGGTGTGGAGAAGAGGACCCCACCAAGATACTCAGTACAGCTCCTGCGAACACGGACATGAAGATGCGAACAAAATCCTAGCAAATACAGTTCTGCAAATACATGAAAAGACTGACACGGCGTGGCCGAGTGGGGATTACTTCAAACATGTAAGACTGGCTCAACATTCAAGCACCCATCGCTGTGACCCAACAAATAGCAGCCTAAAGGAGAAAAGCTACATGATCGTATTGACTGATACAGAAACACAACACCCATGCATGATAGCAACTCAGAAAAATAGGAACAGAGGGGACCTTCCTTGTCTTGGTACTCTATGAAAGCCACAGCTAACATGTACTTAGTGGTGAAAAGACTGAATGCTTTTCCTCCAAGATCAGGAACTATCCAACGACGTCCCAGAATTCCTGGCCAGTGCGAGAAGGCAAGAAAAGGAAATAGAGGCCAACAGACTGGAAAGGAAGAGACAAAACCTGTCTCGTACCTCACAGAAAAATGAACTCAAAATGGATCATGGACTGTCATGTAAAATGTAGAATTAAAACTGTAGGAAAAAACACAGGAGAGAATCTTTAGGATCAAGGGCCAGGCAAAGAGTTTTCAGACATGGTATGAAAGCATGACCCATAAAAGGAGAAACTGATGAGACGGACTTCATCAAAATTAGAACTTTTGCTCCATGAAAGACTCCAGTAAGAGTCTACAGACTGGGAGAAGATATTTGCAAACAAGACAGCCAACAAAGTACTAGAATCTAGAACACAGTAAAAACTCTCAAAACTCGGGAATTCCCTGGTGGTCCAGTGCTTAGGACTCCATGTTTTCACTGCCAGGGCGAGGGTTCAATCCCTGGTCAAGGAACTAAGATCCCACAAGCTGTGTGGTGACAACAAAACAAAACAAAACGCAAAACAAACAAAACAAAAACCTCTCAAAACTCAACATTAAAAAAACAATCCAATTAGAAAATAGACTGAATCTGAAAGACAGGATTCAAGGAAGCGGATACACCGATGGCAGATAAGTATATGAAAAAATGCCCAACATCATTAGCCCTTATGGAAATGCAAATTAAAACCAAAATGGGGTTATCACTATACACCTGCAAGAACAAGCAAAATAAAAACAATAGTGATCACACCAAATGCTGTTGAGGATGCCAAGAACCTGGATCCCTCATACACTGCTGGCCAGAAAGCAAAATGGTACCGCCACCCTTTTACTTTCTTCAAAAACTGAACATCAACTCCCAAGGAGGCTGACAAGAGTAGGTAGTTTTTATGATTCAATGATCTGCAGTGTCTGCGTCTTAGTGAAAGACCCAATTGCAGCCCTAAGGGCTGCTACTTAGAAACTCACTAGCCTGCCATCTTGAAAACCCCTACCGAATGCTCAGAAAGGCTGCCTGCTGCCTATGGCTAGGGCAATGAACTTGGCGAGTGAAGTGGAAGGCTTAAAATTACACTGACTAAGTCAAAGCAATCTTGAGGGAAATAAAGGGAGCTGGAGGAATCAGACTCTCTGACTTCAGGCTATACTACAAAGCTACAGTAATCAAGACAATATGGTACTGGCACAAAAACAGAAATATAGACCAATGGAACAGGATAGAAAGCCCAAAGATAAACCCATGCACCTATGGTCAACTAATCAATGACAAAGGAGGCAAGGATATGCAGTGGAGAAAAGACAGTCTCTTCAATAAGTGGTGCTGGGAAAACTGGACAGCTACATGTAAAAGAATGAAATTAGAACACTCCCTAACACCATACACAAAAATAAACTCAAAATAAATTAAAGACCTAAATGTAAGACCGGACACTATAAGACTCTTAGAGGAAAACATAGGAAGAACACTCTTTGACATAAATCACAGCAAGATCTTTTTTGAAAAGATTTGCAAATAAAAACAAAAATAAACAAATGGGACCTAATGAAACTTAAAAGCTTTTGCACAGCAAAGCAAACCATAAACAAGACGAAAAGACAACACTCAGAATGGGAGAAAATA